TGCTGCTGTTGTACAGTAGAAATGCTACATAGAGAAATCATTATACTCACGTCTTAGCAAAGCACAGGGTGCCCAAGATGTTGTACACTATCTGGCCGATCGTCCATTTGGGAGCGAATGGCTTGTCTCCCATTTCATCCAGAATCTTGGCAATTCCTGGGGTGACGGCTGAAACAAGTTGCTCCAAACGCTCCTTCTGTGCAAAGTGCCTGCCATTAGATGTTTCAGAGGTAAAGATACGTGTGGACGTTAATATGTAAAAACTATACTTCTCTTTCCTTTTCTTGTAAACTGGGCGATTAGAACAAATTCTACCGTAATGCTTTCGACAAATTCTGTTTGATAAAAACGGAAACAACAACCTATTCAATTTTTACCATGCCACCTGAATAACATTTCACGCAAACCTTTCATGTCGGCTTTTGTAACGAGTTGTGGTGATTCTTTCAATCAGTGCCACAATTTTCATTATCATCCACCAGTACTTTATTTGCCCTTCAGTCATTTTTTTTTTTACAGCTGTGAACTATTTTGCTAAAGGGTAGCATTATATTCACATCAACTTTACCTACATAATTGTTTAAAGTCTTTCCTCCAGTGTGTGAATGTAACAATTAGAGCCACGGATCGAAAGTCCTTGATTCCCACACCTTGTTGTTTACCTGATGGCAGTGTGGCCAAGTTTGCGTTGGTAACGCCACTGGGGGCCATAGGTCGAGAAAACAATGTCCTTGAAACCGTCGGTGAACAATCCAACTACAAACAGAAGCAAAGCACAGAATGGAGCAGGAAACGTGAGGACTGAAAATTTCGTAAAAATCTCTGGTAAATTTAATTAGTAATTTCCATGTTTCGAAAACAAACTCAAAGCTGGAGTGCTTGACTTGTTAACACCTTCAGTGTTGAATGAAAAATACTCACTTTCCTGAACTCTACAACACGATATTTTAGGCCCACCATACTACCATCGTTTCAGGCCGATCACCATGGAAAATAGTGAGTGATCCTCGAATCACGTACAACTTTCAAACATTCTGCTCAAATTGGTGTATTTTCATCCAGGAGAATGTAATTTGGCATTTTAAGTCTTGACAATCTGGTAGATTAACTAAAAAATGAACTGGTTCCATCGATTCGCCCCACGGTACCACTTGACTAACGTGAGTAGGTTTCAGGACGTCCAGCAAACACCACAGCTTTCTTGACCAAAGCCTCTTTGACCACATCAATGGTGTTCAACACGACAACGTCCCCGCTGGCAAACTTCAAGGAATAGACTGCTCCGTATTTCTGCCAGAGCTCGTTGAATACTCCTTGTTGAGTGGTGTTTGCGAAGTAAAACTCTGGAAATCGAGAAGGGACAAATGAGAATCAAATTGGAAACATGATTAACAAGATTAATATGATTTGTATTATTTATAAAGTATACATACACGTACGCATGCAGGTAGTACCAAAACAATCATCACTCCGCCAGACTTTGTTTGGAAGGAGTGCACTTTTTTCAAGATTACCTCAAGATGACCTTACCCAATCCACGTACTAACGGTAAGAATTCCAGATACGGTCAGTAAAGTTTGTTGTAGTCATATCAACATGAGAAAGCGATAACATGACAAAATCAAATTTAGCAGGTAAAATATTGAAGCATTAACTTAGAAGCACTTGGAATTTCTCCGACCAGAGTCATCAGGCTTGTCAACAGGGTGTCTATGGAACTCGCTCTTTCGTTTGTTATAATCTTTGTAACGGTTGAACACCGAGGTCGTTAGCCGTGCCAGATGGCATACGTGTTGGTAGTGATGTAGGCCTAAGTGCATTTAGTTGGCCTACAATAATGACGCACATCTAATTGGAACTTACGAGGAATGTTTCCGACAAACGGTAGTGCGGGTGGCCCTGGCGGGAAGCCTGCAGGCCGCTTGATGCTTTTGTACAGGGCGTAGGCAATCAGGGTTCCTACAGCCACCAAGAGCGTGGTCACATTCAGGTAAACGTCTCCGTTGACTTCCATTTTTCAGCTCCTGATGCGATGCTCGACAGTGCAGCTACGTGATAGCTACTTATATCATGCACTGTTGAGTCAGCTCGAGGTAGCAGAGATTATGAATATGAATAGATTCACTCGAACATGTCGCGTTACGGACCAATCTGTCAACACCGTAGCCTTCAATCAACGCCATCACTGCGACAACCGTCGTTCCTTCTTATCATTCGATTTTTATTTGCTTCTCGTGTAGTGTGAGTCACGCTAACTACAGCATCGACCGAAAGGAGATCAAACAACTTACCAATGCCGTTCAAAAAATTGTTTTTGGTATGTCAGGTTGCCAGGTGAGGACGTTGTCCCGTTTACCCAAATATTAAAAATGCTCGAAGGAGAGTCCTAGATAGAGAAAGAGGTGCATTTTCCTCAAGTTTTCTTAACAACAGAAGAACAAAGGAAAGTCCACACTTTGTATGTAAAACAGGTATGTGTGGCTGTGTGTGGGTGCGCTTGTACATGTACATGGTGCCATGTGGGGTACCAGAACAATGGAAGGTACCCCACAAAGTTAGTTTTGATCCTTCTGGGGTACTAAAGGGGTATCCCACAAGATTTCACGAAATAAATATTCAAATTTACTCAAAAATGAAGAATTTTCAAGTGCCATTCATCCGTCGCAAATTGAAGTGTTTTATATAAGGGACATACAGTCGAAATTTCAACCCAGGAAACTGAATTTGGTTGAAATGGCAGTGATTTGGCATTGTTTCCGTGTTGTGTGGAAGTTTTGTGCACGACAACAAAGGAAATACCCCACAAGTATGTGTGTGTGATATTGTGGCGGAATTACCGGTATACCCCGGACTACAAGCGTTCCCCCCGGCGGTAACTCGAGTGGTACTCCCTCCGGAAAACCTACGACCGGATCGGGGGGCAGGCCCGCTGGGCAGAAATGTACCGCCTAATGTACGGGGCTAACCGGACAGTGCCCTCAACGACCTCCACGGGGACAGGCAGGGCAAATATGGACAGGACAAAAACAGACGGGACAATTACGTAACTATATAAAAATTTTGGAAAGATACAACATATTGCCTGTTTTCGCTTCGGTCCTTTTCAATGAGACTAGAAGCGTCTTTTAAGGCAGATGTCGATGTCATCACACGGCCAATGAGCAAGGATCACTTTCTTGTTTTACCTCAGCAAAGTTTCCTTCTCTTTGCCTGGTACTCTGTAGAAGGCATACCGGCTGAAGAGCCAGATGAAGAGCAGAAAGACTTCCTTCTTAGCGAAGTCCTCGCCGAGGCAGACACGGCGTCCAGTGCTGAAAGGTAGGAGGCTCTCTGGAAGCTTGGCAGGGAGCTGACCGTTGTCGTTTAGGAAACGTTCTAAAAAAATGAAAGAGGAAGGCAATTATCAAAAAATCATTTCGTTCAAGTAACAGCAACTTGTTGTGGTAGTTTGATTCTGAGACCAGACATTACTGCATGATGAATAGAGTGTTAGTTGGTGAAACTGACACCCCAAAGACAAGTTCCGTCTTACCAGTGGTTTGAATTTGTCGGGATCTTCCCATTCACTGAGGCTGAAGTGTAAAGCAAGGTGGTCCATCAACACAACTGTTACTTTAGGAAGCTTGCATCAACCTGACCAAGAAAAAATAGCAGAGCAGGAAGATAAGAATGGATATTAGTTGTGTGTGTTTATTTCTCCTCCTTCTTTGCCAGTCGGCAGAATGACTCTATTCTAAGCCTCAGCAGTTCACGTCAGCAACACCAGTCAAGTAGTAAAATTTGATGATTATGAAATACTTGTATCACAATATGTGCCGCTAAAAGTACAATTTTTGATGTGTCAGATGGCAGCGTTATTCGAATAATAAAAATGCTATTCGTAGGGTTAATAGGCCTACATGAGCCTTTTAGAGCCGCAGTAAAGATACTTTTATTCCCGCTAAATTTTCTAATGTTAATGTAGTGGTACGCGTGTGCTTTACAACATCGATAATATATATAATAATATATAAATACAAACAAATGATAGTGAAAATTGACGTGCGAAATAGCAAGTAAGGACACAACGAATAAAAGCACAGTCACAGCTCGATTCAACACTTACATGTAACACATGTGCATGTATGCAGTTTGTGGACAACAGAGCAAATGTGGTTAGAGCACGGAGGTACAAATCCTAAAATTCATGCATACCAAACTAACAGAAAAAATATTAAATGCATCCTATAGTGAACCTCACTGGCACAAGAAACCATATGAAGGATTTACTCACCACAAGCTCCGGAGGAAATTACCCATTTTTAGCTCAGCATATTGCCATGAAGAAAGCTCATGGCGAACTCGTGACCAAGATTGGAAACGGCAGACTTGCACCAAAATCCGCGCGTCTCTGTCAATCTGTGTGTCTGCTCACTTTTCCTACGCCGCTTAAAATACTCAAATTATAAACACACCCCAAGTAAACTTAGAGCGATCTTTATTTAAATTTCCCTTGAGCAATATTATTTTCTGCAAGGTACTGCCTTTAAAGAATTACAATTGGTGCCCCATTTCTGTTGGGCATGAATATAATGTTTACATTTCTGTAGGTAGTGATGATGCAAAGTATATTTGTGGAGGTAAACGAAATGACACCTAGACTGGTTACGTGGCTTACAAAATATAATTTGGGTTCAGAAATAGACTGGCTTTCTGTCCTGTGAACTGATGCAGTCTCCCACATTAGGTTTTATATCGTAGTCCACGATCTGATCTTTGCCAGTGGTTTGTATCATACCTTATGGTATAAATTGGTACCAATCATGCTACCCAGTGCCCATTTCAAAAAGGTCTCCACGAGCTTACATACTGTTTCAATCATAGTTTTGGCATGTCAAGTAGCGCATTTATTCTCTATTTTTAGCCCAAATTTAAACATTTTTAGAGTGTTTGAAAAAGTTGGATTGAATTGGAGGATCTAGCCAGCCTGTCAAAGCCGCTATCAAGATTGATAGTTGTTATTGGTCTCCATAATGTATTTTTTCAACTTTTATTGCATCATATCCGGTGCATCATTGCATATACACATATAACACTTTAACAGTATACGTTTTATAGCTGCATAGATTGATTAACACTAACGGATCTGCTAAGCTTACTTAATGCAGAATCTTTGTGCGCAATCATTAGTTTCTGTGCAATATATTTCTATAATCTCAACATAATACGAAGCTATTATTAGTATTAGTCAATGTCAGACTCTTTTCGAATTCTATCAAACTTTGATTGATATATGTAGCAGGATTTTTGGGGGCACACTACATATTTTATTTGCGGAGGCAGATCTAGAGGGGTGTTGCACCCCCACCCATTCAGCCGCGGACTAAATGGAACTGCCAGTGAAATGACGGAAAATGAGTATTAAAAGAAAGTCTTGGACTAGGATTGCGCCGTCCATCTGTCCATATATATTTCAGTTTTCTTTTTCATCAGGGAACGGTGGTTGATGCTTTTGGACCCCCTCAGCAGGCCATCCCTTCAGTACACCCACCAACCCCCATTTCCTGAAAGCTACATATGCCCCTGATTTGTAAAGTTTACGTTTTGAAAAAACTCCTGCTTTGTTTCAAGGTATTTACTTCAATACAGATTCGATTTGTTATACTACAAAGCAGGTATTGTCTTTAGAGAATTACGTTGGTGGAATTGAGGAACGAATTAATTTCAAATCTGACGCAACCAGCTAGGGTTACTGTCTTTCTAAAAAACTACCATGTCTGCCTGTTTAAACTCTACACCTACGGAAAGCAAAGAAGGCTGAAGAATCATGAACTCCAACAGCGAGAGATCAACATGTATTTATGACACACTGGATGACGGATGAAATGACTGTGTATATGCATGTGATGTCGAAGCTTGAAGATCACCATGAGGAGTTAAAGTTTCTGCCATACATCACACAAGCTTGCCCCACCTATTTACGGACTGTAATGGATCAGAGAAATTTTGATTTGAACTTTAAGCAGTATTTTCAAAACCACTTTACCAAAATATTACAGTTACCATGTTGCTGATTCTTCCACTTCATTAAAAATTTAGGCAACGTTTGACACAAATTTTTTTTTCTGAGTCAGGTTTTTGAATTGGCTGATACTCGGTTCACAGCAAGTTTGCAATGAAAAACTTAGCGGGTGCTTGCCAAGGTCTACATAGCGTACCCTCTTTCATTGAGATATGCTGGTGCACCAAATTTCTTTGGTCCAGAATCTTTAAAATGATGTATAGCTAAAGGTAAGCACTAGTAAAGAATTTTGAATTTTGAAGCTGTCAAAAGATGCATATTTGCCAGTTCACAAGTGTAACCATTTCGACAAAACTGTCAGTCATAATTTTGTAAATACATTGACTAACTACCAGCGCGAATGTGTCATAAAAGGTATTTAAGTATGACCTTCACAACTTTATTGGGTACATGTTACGTCTCACTCCAAGCTATTTTAAGAGGGCTCTAAGTTGGAAGCATGATGTGGAACTACCTGTCAATGTGATTCAAGGTATAGGAGAATCAACGCCGCAGTAATTTGGTACTTTCCCTACGAAAGGGGTTGAAATCTAAATCCAGACTTTGAACACTTCTGATCGGGGCACACTTCCAGATGAATTTCTAAAGACTCCTTTACGAGAGTTGTTATGTGCTACCTTCTATATTACACAACTGATAGTGGGGGTGGTCAATTATTGCTGTTACATGTATTATAAAGGAGCTGCACTAAAGATTGTTAAAGCCATCTTTGACAAAGTTCACAAATGTTCCGAACAACTTTTCTGAATGCCATTTGAATTACAGTAGTGTTTTAACGCAGACCTCGATGTCATCGAGGGGCTGGTGAGCAAAACCCAGTTCTTCATTCAACTTCAGCACAGTTTCCTTCTCTTTGCCTGGTACTTTGTAGAAGGTATACCGGCTGAAAAGCCAGGTGAAGAGCAGAAAGACTTCCTTCTTAGCGAAGTCCTCGCCAAGGCAGACACGGCGTCCAGTGCTGAAAGGTAGGAGGCTCTCTGGAAGCTTGGCAGGGAGCTGACCGTTGTCGTTTAGGAAACGTTCTAGATATTGAAACGAGACAGCGTATTTTTATGGAAAAATGAGTTTTAAAAAAGTCAAACCTAGTTTTCAAAACGTAATAGGTTTGGTAAGATTTAAAACTTTGTATTGTGGAGGCTAGACCGAGAGAAGGGTTGCAGGTACACATGTGGAATCTATCAATTCTATAAGAGTAGTGGTTCTGAGAAGAACCGGTGAGTGCATGTGAACTCGACGTTTTGACCAGGATGCTCTGGCCGTCCTTGGGAGAGATGAGGAGTAGAGTGGAGAGCTAACTTATGAGGTCAAGAGAAGAAGCCATGGCCAGCCTCCAGCCACCAGTCTCGCACCAGTATGCGTTCATTTGAAGTTCAAGGCTATTATCCTTTGTGCATTGAGCTCGGCGGTGGAAAGGCATACGGATTTGGCTGACCTGTCTCGGACAAATGGGCGCTAAGCAAGAACTATGAGATGGATTTCACAGAATTGGTGTCGAAATGACCGCAAAGAGCTACTGAAAAAATACCCAAGGCCCTGCTCGTGAAAAAATACACTTTGGCGATATCGGCGGGAAAATGGGGCAGATTCCGCCCCTTAAAGGGTCAATTCCTACGTTACCTGGTTTGAACTTTTCCGGTTCCTCCCATTTAGCAGGGTTGAAATGAAGGGCCATGTGGTTGATCATCACAGTGGTATCCTTAGGGAGTTTGTATCCACCTGGATGAGAAAAACTTCAGCAGGTTCATGGAAGCCTGCTTTAATTGTCACATACTTGACTCTAATGGGCCACGGCTGAGTTTAGCAGTAGCTTATTGCCGCTCTCGACATTGTTATGGCATTGTCTAAATATCCCACTTTTTATTGGAGTTTCTTGCCACATTTGTGTCGAACACTGACATGAACGGGAACCAAAGAAAGAGGGATATTTGATTTTCTTAACGACCTGAGAAGGATGTGGATTTTCCAGTGATTCGGCCTGATAATGTTTCTGCTGCCTACATGTACTTTTTTGTCTTTGGGGGCTTTGGGAGGCAGAATGTTGTGCATCCCCTTTTCCCCAATAGGCCTACCCTGTGTCTTCATTTACGGTACTGAAATACGGTTCTGTTTTGTCATAATTGCATCCTTGTATGCGTTCTGAAGATGACGATGTGCATCGCGTCGTGGCGTCGTCCATGACGTCGTGCCGTCGCCTGTTTTCTCAATGCTGATTAAGACATTGCAACAGGTCGCAAAGGGCGACGGCACGACGCGACACGCTGCAATGGTTGTTCAATAGTATTGAGGAAACAGGCCAAGGCATGACGTGATGGCACGACAACCTGACGCAACAGCTCGACGAAACGTGCATTTTTTAGAACACCATATAAGATCCTTGAGATAAGAAGTGCCTTTATTATTTAAAAATTTCTGAATTGTCACTGTAATATTTATTTGATACCGACTACACGACCATGACCCTAATAGAAATTCACTATGGTGTCAATTTGTTTTCAGTAGTACGGCCCAGATCTTCATTTATTTTGGCTCTTAATGGATAAACTAGATAGGCAGTACATACCCAGTGTTGTGTCTTCCATCACAGAATGCGGAAGACCAAGTGGTGCCACGGTACCATACCGAAATATCTCCAGAAGGGTGGCTTCAGTGAACGGCAAAGAACCCCTGTCAGTCAATGAGGGCATCCGGTCATGACCTATGATCTCATCAATTTCCATGGCAACCTTTTTCTGGATTTCAGGATACTCGGCCATGAGGAGCACGCTCCAGTGGAGGGTGAGAATGGTGGTTTCTGTTCCCGCTGTGAGACGGAAAAAAGATGGTTTATGATGTGCCCAACTGCATTTCTCCTTAAAAGGTATGGATTATAACTGGATTATAATTTTTTTGGGGGGAAGGGATTAGGTTTGAATTTACCTGTTCTATATTTTCTCTGATACACCACAATATATTCATAATTATTCATGTTTCGTGGTTATTAACATTAGTTTTATGGGAGTTGACCACATTATTCTCATAAAATGTCTACTTTGACAGAGGACAGGTAAGCTGAAGACCTTCCGACTGACTTGTGCTCATTGAATTATCCAATGTGTTAGAGAGTGAACCATGAAAAGCCAGAACAACGATACCCTACACTGAGTTGAATTTTAATCTCACACTTCTGCTTATAATGGATACTCTTACAATCAGGCCAAGTTTCAAAAGACTGTTGAAGAAGAGATCGGTTGGGAGAAGAGAGGGTCTGAGGAAACCTGAAGTTTCAGGGTTCACGCGGGTATACCTCCAAAAATGTCCATGACCGTATGGATGAGGTGCGTGTCTGTCAGACGATCAGCTCCTTCCTCCCCTGCTTCAATGTTCTCCTTCTGGGTCAGCAGCAACGAGTCAAAGAAGTCACGGATATTCTCTACGGTTGGACACGAAAATGTGCTAGCATAATGTCTTTACACGACATCCACAAAATGGTGCTTCAAATGTAAAGGGCAAACAGCACATACAAAGAACTTCTTCTAAGTTCGTTGATATATGCGTGCAATCTTAGAATTTACATCCAACTCTACTCTAATGGCAACATGGACGCTGGTATGCCGATGCATTAACAGTAATTCTAATCTGCACGTGGTATAAAGGTCTGGCCTTATTAAGACAATACGGTGCACCTGAATCTGTTGTCTAGAGCTCGGTCTATTTCTATACTGCATTGGAAATACGTGGAGCGGCGGAGACAGCTCTAGATGCCCGTTTAGGACACGCTCTACGTACACATTACCTAAAGCAGTCTGTATAACAACCACGGAACGCAAATCTTGATGTGCTGCCGATTGCTACAGTTACGTGTATGTATCTGTCAAGCAAAACACAGTGGCTGAAACCACTTTCATTTGAGGAAAAACAATGGACGAACCCACAGCCGGGAAAGCCACTTTATTTGATGAAAAAGAGGTTTTGACAGGTGGCTAGGAGTTTTAGAAAGCTTATGTATCGTTTGCAAAATCATAAAGCAGTCATTTGATTATTTAAAGGAAACAACAGTAAATTCATTTACAGGAATATTGCGAATCTGTGGTGTTTGATAAGGAGTGAGATTACCTGGATCAAAAGTATCACGGTGTCTCTCAAACTCCTCTTGGAACATTTGCTTGAAGGGCTTCAGCAGACGCTTTAACTTGGTATCGGCAGGAGTTGGGATGTACTGGAAAATGGTCATGAAATCCCCAGGCAGACCGCTTCCAAAAGCTTTGTTGATTTCAGTGTTGATATCAATCCAATTCAGTAAATCGGGATCGTTGAATTTGTACCTGATAAATGTCATGTTCAGAATATCGATGCTTTAGAAAAAACGCATAAGTCTGACACGTTGAGCCTCAATTATTGCAGTTTTTGACAGTAGCAAACTGTTCTTGTATCCAAGGCAAAACGTTCCAAGAAAGTGACCAAGTAAAATTTAAATGTCGATCCCACTGTGTGGTCAAAATCATCGGTCAAATTTGATTAATAATGAGACAATTTCCTGTTTGGTTTTCAATTAATGTAGATCACTCCCATACTTGCTTTTCCCCTGCAAATGACAAGCGCTGGCACAGTTACTCTGAAAATACGTGTACTGGCATATTTCACCTAGTTTCAGCCTGTCACTGATAATCGCTAAAAGGTGAAGGTGCAGGTGTAAGCAGCGAACCTGAGTTGATAAGGAAAAGTGCATGCATGATAAATTTGGGCACCGTGGAAATTTACAGGTTGTACTGCTACCTTAACATGATCTTTTGCGCAAGCCTTAGAGGGAGCTTGCTCTGATAAAATGGGGTCACCAGTCGTACATGTATCGGGAATGTGCTAACAACAGGTCACTGTGCTTTCTATCAGAACAGGCTCCCTTGAATGTACAATTGCACATGCCTCTTTCAAGTACACGAGGCTGCGCTTTGAAATCCCGAGCAGACAGGAAGATCAAGAATGAGACCTCGAGCAGAATGAAAAATTGGGATCGTAATATCTCATGTCATACCAAGAACAGACAGGTATCATTCCATGTTCCGAACCGCAGTCTAATTACCCGTGTCCTCACAACGCCATGTGCAGTGCAAACACAAGCTTAAGAAGATCAGGTGACCATGTTTGCCATCGGAGAGGGTTAAGATTTGTTATTGATTTTGACTGTACAATCTTTGTTTGAACACTGAGTGTCGTGGTCATGTGGCACTATCCAACTTTGGCCATGCAAAAAGATTTTGTGCATTCATTGGTATTTCAGTTAATATTTGAAAGTTGGTTGACGAACTTTGCTGATTGTTTTTAAAGGTTGTTAGAGAAATTTTCTATCAAGATACATACATCTTTATGTTAAGTGTCCAAAATGGCCTATAGGCCACGGGGTTATGAAAACTGCTCACGCATGATTTATTGGTATATGAGCCACTGTACAGAGTACTATACAAAAGACAAAAACGAGGATTTGATGATGGTGCCGCATCAGTCACTGTGATGACATTGCATGTGCACATTTTTCTTCTTGCTCCTGCTGTTTGTACGGTACTAACGCTACCAGACATATACAGTCATTGTACTCACGTCTTGGCAAAGCAAAGGGTGCCCAAGATATTGTACACTATCTGGCCGATCGTCCATTTGGGAGCGAATGGCTTGTCTCCCATTTCGTCCAGAACCTTGGCAATTCCTGGGGTGACGGTGGAGACAAGTTGCTCCAAACGCTCCTTCTGTGCAAAGTGCCTGCCATTAAGAAATTGTCCCCAGGTTTTTCAGAGCCAAAGATACGTGTGGAAGTTAATAAAGTTGTAAAAATGACACGTGCCTTTCCCTCTTTTCCGTTAAGTGGGCGATCAGAACAAATTCTGCCGTGATGCTATTTGACAAATTCTATTTGATAGAGTGAAAGCAACAACCAATTCGATTAATATTACGTGTGTTCCCTATTATGTAGCAGCATCAAAGCACGCCAACAGAATAACATTTAACACACACACCTTTCTAAAAGCCTTTTTGTACCGAGATGCAATGATTCTTCTAATCGATGCCATGATTTTTGAATACATGTACCTCTGCTTTATTTGCCCTTCAGTGATTTTTTTGTAGCTGTGTACTATTTTGCAAAAAAGTATTATCTCCACATCATCTAGAAAAAAAAACAGTGATTAACACTTGCGAACTTGTTTAAAGTCTTTCAGTCCATCGTGTGAAAGTAACAGAGCCATCGGCTGAAAGTCATTGATCCCAAATCTTCTTTGTTTACCTGATCGCAGTGTGGCCTAGTTTGCGTTGGTAACGCCACTGGGGGCCATAGGTCGAGAAGGCAATGTCCTTGAAACCGTCAGTGAACAATCCAACTAGAATCAGAGAAATAAAGCACATGATGGAACGGTGCCAGGATGAAAAAACATAGGAAATGAACAATTCATAAAAAATATCAGGCAAACTTGAATTTCAAGTTCCATTTTGCAAAAACAAAAATCGATGCTTGAGAGCTTGACACCTTTAGAGTCTTTCCTCAACTCTACAACATGATATTTTAGCCCGACCAATACCTTACTACCATCGTTCAGGACTCCTCCACATTTTCAGACCTATGCCCTCATAAAATAATAAGAGATCCTGGCATTGTATTCAATTTTGAGGAATTCCGCTCACAAATTGTTTTTATTTTCATCCAGGAGAGTGTAATTTGGCGTGTTAAAAATCTAGACAATCTGGTGTATTCATTAAAAATGAACTACTTGACTAACGTGAGTAGGTTTCAGGACGTCCAGCAAACACCACAGCTTTCTTGACCAGTGCCTCTTTGACCACATCAATGGTGTTCAGCACAACAACGTCCCCGCTGGCAAACTTCAAGGAATAGACTGCTCCGTATTTCTGCCAGAGCTCGTTGAAGACTCCTTGTTGAGTAGTTTTTGCAAAGTAAAACTCTGGAAATCGAGAAGGGACAAATGAGAATCGGATTGGAAACGTGATTAACAATATTAATATGATTTGTACTGATTTATAAAGTATACATACACGTATGCACGCACATAATACATGTGCTCTGGCAATCATCACTCCGTAAGCCTTTGTTTGGAAGGAGTGCAATTTATTGAGAATCTCTTTTTTTTCAAGATCATCTCAAAATGACCTTACCCAATTTGCCAAGGGTAAGGATTCCCGATACTTTCACTAAAGTTTGTTTATAGTCATATCAACCATGAGAAAGCGAAAACATGACCTAGAAAGTCAAATTTAGCAGGGAAAATATTGAAGCATCTACTTAGAAACACTTGGAATTTTTTGACCAGTGTCATCTGGGGGTGAACAGGGTGCTCGTTTAGTGATGTCCGGATATGGAATTCATTCTGTCTGTTATGATCTTTGTTAATTAAACGGTTGAACATCTGAGGTCGTTAGCCGTGGCAGATGGCATACGTGGTAGTGATGTAGGCCTAAGTACAATTAGTTGGCCTACAACACATCTAATAGGAACTTACGAGGAATATTTCCAACAAGCGGTAGTGCGGTTGGCCCGGGCGGGAAGCCTGCGGGCCGCTTGGCGCTTCTGTAAAGTGCGTAGGCAACCAGGGCTCCTACAGCAACCAAGAGCGTGGTAACATTCAGGTAAACGTCCCCGTTGACTTCCATTTTTTCAGCTCCTGATCGATTGCAATGCTCGACAGTGCAGCTTCGCGATAGCTACTTATCATATCATGCACTGTTGAGTCACTTCGTGGTAGCAGAGATTATGAATGCATATAGGTTCACTCGAGCAAGTGGCGTTACGGACCAGTCTGTCAACACCGTAGCTTTCAATCAACACAATCACTGCGATTGAAGCACAAACAAAGGTCGAGCCAAGACTCGCACGTGATTCCACCGTCGTTCATTCATATCATCAGTTTTTATTTGCTCTGCGTCTAGTGTGAGTCACGCTCACCAAAGCACCGACCGAAAAGAGATCAAACAACTTACCAATGCCGCTCAAAGAATGGGTTTTGGTATGTCAGGTTGCCAAGTGGGGACGTTTCCAATTTACCCGAATATTAAAAATGTTATTCTTAAGGCTTTGTGAAGTAGTTGAATTGGAGAATTCAGCTGGCCTGTCAGGGCTGCAGTACAGATACTTTTATTCAAGCAAAGCTTTGTTAATTTCAAGTTTATACCTTTGTCGACGGTCTTATCCAGTTGGCCAGTGGTACAACATGATATATTTATGGTACAAATTATGTAGCAGCGTATATTGATAAGAACACCGGATTTTCTGAAATGCACTAAATACAGTGTCAGACAGTTGTCGAAGTTTAATAGTTGAATATCTCGTTTCAGAATTTGTTGGGTAAACTACAAAGTTTGGCCCAATTCGACATGTTGAGAATAACTAAGTTTACAGTATCACCTCTACAGTTGTTATTTTGAATTATGAATGAATATGAATCGCTAAATTAAACGCATTGCTGGGTATTGCTTCATGTTACCTCTCTAAAGAAAACAGTATTTGATGGTAAAGAACCAATAATTCAATCCTAAGGCACGGCTGTAAGTTTTACCAAATTGGACGTAACCAACCTCATTATTTTGCTCTTTTGCTTAGTTTGGAATATCCGCCTATTAAATTCTACGCTAAATGTTTCATTGGAAAGCCGTAACTTTAAATGCATGAACTTTCCTACCGAAGTGACAACGTCACGCGCGGAATTGTGTGTGTATATTACAGCGAGAATCAGCGCGCGAAACCAACACGCATGCGTACCGCTCCATTTGTTGCCACTACACTTTTTGGTTCACAGTGACGTCACACTTTGGTACTCGATAGATCGGGCACTATCATGACACACTGCATGACACAAAACGGCTTTACGATATGCACGTATTTTCAAAACTCAAATGAGTTTTGTTTCGGTTGAGTTACTTGGCGAGAATTTTAAATACACAATTAAACAATACGTGGATTTGAGAAATTTTAACGCAACTGAAATCAACACATGCATAGCCATTTTATAGATGTATCCTTATTTTGTACATTGGTGGCGTTGGTTGAACATACACCATTAAAATTTGGATCAGTGTTGACGCGACTTCGATTTTTAAAAATCGGACGTTCATGAAATAGTTTATACAGTATTTAAAAAATGCAATCATTTTAACTCAAGGTTCTTAACGAAGGGTTTCATGGATTTTTTCCACACCTTGCTTTTTTGGTGTGACTGCACCATCCAATAATGACATGGCTTAACCTTTCGCAGTGAGATGCTGGTAAGGAAGCCTTATTTGGTCCCAATTTTGGGAAGGATTTAAATGATCATGCTTTTTCGCTTTGCGTTTTCTCAATGAGGCTAGAAGCGTCTTTTAACGCAGACCTCAATGTCATCACAGGGCTGATGAGCCAGGACCAGTTCTTCATTCAACTTCAGCACAGTTTCCTTCTCTTTGCCTGGTACTTTGTAGAAGGTATACCGGCCGAAGAGCCAGGTGAAGAGCAGAAAGACTTCCTTCTTAGCGAAGTCCTCGCCGAGGCAGACACGGCGTCCAGTGCTAAAAGGCAAGGGGCTCTCTGGAAGTTTGGCAAGGAGCTGACCGTTGTCGTTTAGGAATCGCTCTAAAAGGGGCAAATTATCAAAGCGTTTTAGTACCAGTACACAAGTAACTTACTCCTGCGTTTGACATTGCTGTTTCTGAAGCAAGACATTACTGCTTGATGACCTGAGCTATCATCTGTAAAACTGACATCCACAAAGACTAGTTCTGCGTTACCTGGTTTGAAGTTTTCAGGATCTTCCCATTCAGTGGGGCTGTAGTGCAAGGCCAGATGGTTAACCATCACAACTGTATCTTTGGGAAGCCTGTATCCGCCTGGCCAAGAAAAGCAATACAGCAGGAAGAAAACAATATGTGTTGGTTTTTGTGAGGTTAGAATTATATTTGTCTTCTTTATTTTAGAGGTTTCCACCAAATTCCAACGACCGTTTTGGTGTACATTTCTTTGCAATAACCACTTTGGACACCTCTTGGGTCATTTGTACAAGTGGAGTCTAAAGTCAAGCGTTGCGAATTTCAAGTTTAGAATGACATGTAATCTAAACCAGCGTTCACATCTGCAGTACAGTCGGCCGTTAATATTTGATTCGATAGCTGATAATAATCCAGTTTTACGTGCCTTGAATACTGTAATTTTATTGGTGTAGATGTACTTGTCATCTACCCACAGACTGCAGATTGTCTGCGTTGTAATTAATGCCTAAAATGCTGGTTTGACCTTTTCCTGGGTCTTAGTGAGTTGTGATACATGATGAGATACATACACAGTGTTGTGTCTTCCATCACAGAATGCGGGACGCCAAGTGGTACCACCGTGCCATACCGGAAAATCTCCAGGAGAGTGGCTTCAGTGAACGGCAAAGAGCCCCTGTCGGACAACGACGGCATGCTGTCACGACCTAGGACCTCATCAATTTCCCTGGCGACCTTTTTCTGGATTTCAGGATACTCGGCCATGAGGAGCACAGCCCAGTGAAGGGTGAGAATGGTGGTTTCTGTTCCCGCTGATGTGAGACGGAAGATGCATTGAACTATGCTTACATTTTCATTTGGCCGAACTTTCGTGGGGTCATTATTGTCTTTATATGTGACGTGTATAAGACCAGGGAGCTGATTCATTCACAGGAATCAATCTCAGAATAGCATGTGTTTACCTGTATAGAAAAATGCACTCATGAATTGTACTGAAGGGAAGCAGTCTTTCGTTACAGCTAATTCCAAAGGCCTTACCCGAAAAAATGTCCATGACAGTGTAGATGAGGTGCGTATCTGTCAGACGGTCAGCTCCTTCTTCTCCTGCTTCGATGTTCTCTTTCTGGGTCAGCAACAACGAATCCATAAAGTCACGGATGTTCTCTGAAGACAAAGGAAATTGTTTGCTTGGAGTGTTATTCAAAACAATACGGGGCTCTGTATACATATGCACGACACAATGTCCGTGAGATTGCTTCAATGCAGCCGGACTATTAATCCTATTAAAGGTAACTTAGAAACAAATTTTCTCGGGGGGGGTTGTTTAGTAGAGGGAAGTGGGCCAAAAATTTGGAATTTTAGCGTGTAAATTTTGTAGACCTTTTGACGTAGAATGTTAAGTTTTTTGGGCCTTTTCTTCTACATGCTTTCAGAAATGTTATCGTCCCCCAGATGTCTTTCCAACATTAAAACGAAAATAAAATATAAAAATTCCCCATACTTGGAAGAAGCTGGGGGAAAACAGAGAGATGCCGATAAGGCTTTAAGGAATGTTCAATGAGATAATATCTTGGCGTTTAATTAAACAGAAAATTGAATGATTACTTAAAATGATAGCTGCTAGCCCCATTACCTGGATCAAAGCTCTCTTGGTGTTTGTCTAACTCGTCACTGAACATTTTCCTGAAGGACTTCAGGAGGCGCCGGTATTTCAAGTCGGAAGGAGTGCGAATGTACTGGAAAATAGCTATGAAATCCCCCAGTAATCCGTTACTAAATACTTTGGTTATGCCAGTATTCAGGTCGATCCAGTCCAACAAATCGGGATCGTTGAATTTGTACCTGTCACGATAACACACAAAAACGCATGCTCGTCAGCCTACACGAAAATGACAGTTAATTCTCCTTTCAATCACCCAACGCGAAACTGAATGGCGGGTATCCAGTGTCCAGTTCGAAACGAGTGCTTGAAAGAACACAGTTTGACGTTTGCAAAAGAATCTAAAGACTCTCAGCTTTGAGAGAAAAAAATAAAAAAAACATGGGAGAAAATGACCAGAGGTAAATCGTTCGAACATGTAGGCCCCTATGCATGTTGATGAATGTGACAAAGGTTTTGGCAAATTCGGCAGGAAACGAGGGAAGGTTCTGACATGAATACTCAATGAGTACATGGTCCTGCAGATCAACAGTGAGCGACATCCAAAACTATTAGACCCAAAGAATGTTCATGTATATGTACCTCTGTGTTTGTGGGGTCAAAATCCATTCCATATTGTCAATGTTTTTGTGAGCCTGTTCATTAAAATGATGTAGCGTTAACATGATTCACGTAGACAGTAAAACGTTTGGAGATTGCAATTTGCAGTTTGGACCATACCACATAGGGAGCCATAGTGTAACAATGAGAACAATTAGAGAATAAACATTGTTATCTAAACTCACAGAACAGTCTGGTCTGAAAAAGTATTTTCTTTTTGATTCAATGATCAAAAAGACTTTGCACCCTGTAAGGCGTGGCACAAACACTGCATGGGTGACTAAAAAGGGTGAACTGGCGTTGACAGTTGCACCTCGACTGAAATCGCTTCTTATACCTATATATCTGAATTACACGTACATGTACTACAAATAAAGTTATACTGACCGCTTGGCAAAGCACAGGGTGCCCAAGATATTGTACACTATCTGGCCGATCGTCCATTTGGGAGCGAATGGCTTGTCTCCCATTTCATCCAGAATCTTGGCAACTCCAGGGGTGACGCTGAAAACCAGTTGCTCCAAACGCTCCTTCTGTGCGAAATGCCTGTCACAAAGAAAAAAGGAAGAACATGTACACAATCTAACTGTACACTGATACAAAGTTTCAGACAGGACTCTGAATAATTATACTTGCCTTGTGTATTTGGAGTGTGATTTAATTCGTTGGTGCTTTCCTGGTTAAAAAGCGTGACTGGAGCCCGCAACCTTAAAAGTGATGAGAGTTGAATGTGTAGATTACCCATCAGATTTGGTCTTCTGAGCAGAACCATTTTGGTGACAAATTTCCGCCAAGGGACATTTGACATACATTTTTCTCAAAGCTTTCTTTCTGCAACCACCTGATCGTTTTGAACGACATGATTTAGTCTGTATAGAAAAGCCATTTCTGTAATGATAGGCACGGAATAATTCCTTTCCGAGGATTCCCATGGTAATTATTTTAAAATTTTAGTCAGAGAACTAGAAGCTTTCCTGAGGTTACCAAATTCTCAAAGAATGGGGTTGAACTTCCTGACATTATCTTCATTTACCTGATGGCAGTATGGCCAAGTTTGCGTTGATAACGCCACTGAGGTCCGTAGGTTGAGAAAACAATGTCTTTGAACCCTTCTGTTAGTAATCCAACTATAATAGAATTAGAGAAACACGAGACAATTAAAAAGTAACATTGAAGAATATTTTGGATGGCAAATCCATGAAGAAGAACACTAAAACATTTTCGTAAACTCTGAATCTAGTTGAATGCAACATTACTGTAGCCTATGTACAAACTGCACCGGCGTAGCCAGGATTCAGGGGGCGGGGTGGCGAGCGGGGAGATTATCGCTTCAGTGGGGGGGGGAGTCTATCTGGTAGTTGGAAATACATGTATACATGTCCATAATCGTGACCACATCAAGTGGGGGGGCCACGATTTCTCATGGGGGGGGCGTGCGCCCCTACCCCCCCTTAGCCACGCCGCGGACGAACTGTATTGTTCACCAGTCTATTTCATATCAGGTGTGACTGTTAAGTTTTTGGAACTTTATTTGGTGGAACAGTTTTTTCCTCCAAACTGCTGGCAACTTCAAGCAAACTTTCTGAAAAGTACTGCAATTAAAGGGACCCTGGTCAATATCTGACCTCGATGCACCTCACCTGAGTATGTTGCAGGACGTCCAGCAAACACAGCGGCTTTCTTGACGAGTGCCTCTTTAACCACATCAAAAGTGTTTAGCAAAACAACGTCACCACTGGCGAATTTCAAGGAGACGATTGCGCCATATTTCTTCGAAAGATCCAGGAAAGCTTGTTTTGGATGTTTTGCAAAGTAAAACACTGGACGGAATGCAATGAAGGAAGGACAATGAATTTTAATCAAGTGAGTAAAATTCTTTGGTATTGCTACATTGAATTTACAATTAAACTGCTGCAATGAATTGACAATTGAACAATCACGTTCTTCCTGTTATTTTAAAAATTCTGTAAGTGAATATAACTTTGTTAGTTTATCTTTTTCACTTCCCTCCTAAAAAGAGTATAAAACCTTAACATGTAGCTTCAACCCTCAGAAAGGTCATGAAAGGTTAAAGAGCCTACGTAACTGCCCCCTCATCAAACAAGTTCCCCTCCATCGAAAATTTGGTTCTGGATACACCCTTGATTAGGACTGAATTACCTACTCAAGTTAGGCCTACTTATGTTATGATTAAGCATGTGTTACACCCCCACATGTTCCAACAACAGAGCTAGTTGGGAAGGTCCCAAATTATGGTGCTTTAGTTGGCCGGCATGTATAAAAACCATACTCAACAAATTCTGTGAAAGACCTCAAGAACCATCTCGAAGTTAATGCAGCTCACACCTTACGGAATTAATTATGACACACAGCTGGAATGTGTGACATACTTTGGTCGTCCCAACTACAGCCGTACTTCCAAATTGGTTCGTTATCCTGGTTGGCTGAAACATTGTCACGAGGGGTTCACGGTTACAGACTACAAAAATTATTAACTTTTTGGTCAGTGTAAATCAGACTCGCGCCAAGACATCGCACAACAGTGGACTACAATTTATATTGGTCGTGTAAGATTTTACTTTAAATTTTGACTGTTACAGGGCCCTCAAATCACGACAAGAAAAGTGAAGAGTAACACAAAAACTGAATTTAAGGAAGACAAAAGTGTTCCTTTAATTGCGTATGAGTTGGAGGAAAACAGTTACGTTACAAAATCTCGATTTTTTGTATTCGACATTTCGGACAGTGTGTTTTAAAACAAATGGACTGGAATAGTTTGGTCATCGGTAGTGCAAGTTTATATTCCCTGTCGGACCTGTGATGAGTGAGCAGAGGGTTGAATTTCGCTTTGTCGGCCTTAGGAAATACGACCCTCTCTTGGTTACTCACAGTTCGTCACCGACACCACGAACTGACACTCATTTGCAAGTGAGTGTCAGTTCGCTGTGAAAGTTGCGTTATCAAGAATTTCGGTTTCACAAACTAACGCTCGACGGTGCGCGCGCACATCGGATACTGAAGTGAAATACATACAGTAAGGAGCAAATTCTTTGAAAGGTTTGACATGCATTTGACCCATCCCTGTATCTGATACCTGACACAGAAATTAATTAGAAGTTGTTTAACTGGTATAATTAAAATAGCTTTCAGTTTGTGAAACGACAATGCACAGAGTGCCTGCCGAAAGCGAAAGCATGATTTGCCAAATACACGCGCATGGAGTACGGTACCATATCAATTTAAGGGGTCTATTCCTTTTAGTCCGTAGCTGGAGGGTAATCCATAGCTGGGGTAACACATGTATCGCCACTGTTCATCATAATTCTTGAGGATGAAAGACTTCTGTGTCGTTTCACGCTATACATGTATTTATAACCAACCAAAATTGTTCCGGTACCAAAGAAAGTAAGGCATAGACCCTACCTATAGCTGCTTGCATATTAGGATACAACTCACGAGGAATATTTCCGACAAGTGGTAGTGCGGTTGGCCCGGGTGGGAAGCCCGCAGGCCGCCTGGTGCTCCTGTACAGCACATACGCTGCCAAGGTTCCTACAGCCACCAAAAGAGTAGTCATGTTCAGGTACAGGTCTCCGTGCATTTCCATTTTTCTTCACTCCCCTCTTTGCGATGCTGGCCTCAAACTTGGGGGTGAGGTTGATTAGTGGCTCCCCTTTAATGATATCAAATTCTGTGCGTGCGGTGCAGCGCCGGGCAGCAGCAGTCAACGCCAGAGTTTGGGAAAACAAGGTTTTGGATCTTGGACTTCGTGCAAGTGTACTGCTAGTACTTGTCACATATAATTTTGTTCAGACGGTGAACAGGTAAAAATAGTCTGGCAGCAGTACTTACAATTTTGACATCCTTAAAAAAACTAGCACAGAAGTCCAGAACCTAGTTCGGCAAACACTCAGTATTAGGAATGTTCAAAGGCATGCAGCACGGCGAGAAAGATCAATTGGTGCATTGAGAGATCACGTCGAATGTGTTGTTGTTTTGTATTAATGGCGCTTTCAGCAATTGAGGCTATTTGCGCCAATAACTGTACGTTTATTCATACACTTTATTAATCAGCATCACATTACGGAGTTAGGAAGAAGGTCCAGTTTCAGAGACAGGAGGAAACCGGAGTACCCGGAGAAAACCTGCGAAAGCGAGTATGGACTGGAAACCAAATGCACTTAAAGCCTGGGCCAAGCCGGGACTCAAACCAAGGCCTCATTGGTGCAAAGCGAGGAAAGAACTGCTACGCTAACCCGCTCCCCCACGTCGAATGTGCTTTGTTCGCGCAGACGTTGCTATTTTTTGAAAAGCTGAGGGTGTTGATTGACAATGCAACTCATTCCCTCATTCGTGTATTTTATTTTGTACAGCTGTATACCCAATTACTGCACTGCATAAAGTCAGCATCTGAAGTCAAACTCGGTGTTCCCTCGTGCATTAGCCTGTGTTGGCGTACCACGTAACGTCTGACTTACACGGAAGAGACTACGTTTTGTTAATGTGTTGGGATGGGGTGGATAGATATGACTTTGAAATACACTCTTTTGTAGTCTGAATTCGATCATCTAACCACTGAAGTTTATTAACTCATTACTTTTGGCAACATCATGACTACTCTCAATTAATTATATTACTTGCTAGAAATGACATAGACTAAAAAATAGATTTTTTCTTTCAAAATGTACACACATGTATTACAGATATTTCAGTATTGGATTGTTGAACACTGACCCTGGTTTTAATTTGGAAAATATTGCTTTTATTTCAGAGAAAAAAATCAGGTCCACTACTTACCAATTTGTTTCTATAGCAAAGGAGCAACGTGTGTGATTAAACATCAGAAAGTCATGGTAATGCTACTCCAATTAAAATACATTTGCAGCTTTAATTTGCGGATTTCTTTCTTCCTTATGAATGGACCAACATGAAGTACCTTTGAACTCTGAGGATTACCAAGGTAAGTCAGGTCCAAATTTGAACAGCAAGTGTCATATGGACGACCGATAACGTTCTATTTCGGTCTAAAACTGTCACAGGCACAAGCCATTCATTTGTGCACCCAGTCCATTTTCTTCAAAAGCAGCAAGCGTATATGCAGAATGTAGCTGTTTGCCTATTCTGACCAGGGTCTGTCAGCTCTTTTTTAGGCCGCGTACGCTCATATTTTGCCTACCGTTGACAGGGAGAACTACGACTAGCCTGTTGGTCAGTCCGGAAGTAAAAGAATGATTCAAGGTGCTTTTGATAACACTCATTGCTGCCTCCCCAAACACCAAATCAACTCTACTGTTTAGTACTGAATGAAACTTTGACCCTCCTCACAGTGATGAGGTGGATGGATATTTTTCACAGTAAAACTGAGCAAAAACCAAGGCTGCAACCATTAGCCACCCATAGGAAACGAAGGTACCATGGAGACCTATTTTGACTACAATTTTCTTTCGGCACCTCACTAGTATATTCAGTTGTTACGTGTGAGAAATCCCATATGGGTGTGAGCTATGAGAGGTACGTTAGAATAGCATGAAATATATGAGAGTCTCATGCTCTCGAGCGTAGACTCCAGTCAATTCCACTACAGAGCATTTGCATGGTAGCCATCTTGCAGGGCAGTTCTTTTGTTGTACAGGGAAACCTCTTACCCTATGAAACAAACGTACTGGTCTGCAAGATGGCAACCATACGAAACTTCTATTCAGACTGCTAGAAGCGCTTCTTCACGCAGACTTCTGCGTCATCCAGGGGTTGGTGTGCAAAGCCCAAAGCACGGTTCAGCTTCAGCAGGGACTCGCTCATGTTGCCTGGTACTTTGTAGAAGGTATACCGGCTGCAGAGCCAGGTGAAGAGCAAGAAGATTTCCTTCTTAGCGAAGTCCTCGCCGAGGCAGACGCGACGTCCGCAGCCAAAGGGCAAAAGGTTCTCTGGAGGCTTGGCAGGGAGTTGGCCATTGTCATTCAGGAATCGCTCTGGGAAGGAAACAGAGACACTAGACAAGAACTGTCAACAGACTTTTTTTCTCTTGCTGCATCCAGTCACAGTTTTTGCTTACCAGTAGCTGGTAAACCATGGCTGGCCTTCAGTGTGCAGTTGCAAAAAGACATTACATATCTAAGTACCAAATAATACATTGCATAACACTCTGAACAACATATACTCCAAATTCTGATATAACTCCCCCTTAACACTTAATAAGTGAATGTGCATATTCGGGCAAAACATGTTGCCAGCCAAGAGTCAATTTTCTCTGGTTGTACAAATGGGTAGACAATGTTTGTTTCAAAACAAAATACGTGTAAGTAAATCCTCATCAACCCTGACCTGGTTTAAACTTCTTCGGCTCTGTCCACACATCAGGATCATAGTGCAGGGCAAAATGGTTGATCATCACCAACGTTCCTTTGGTGATCCGGTAACCATCTGAAAATCAGGGAACAAAAGACAATGTGCATGTAGCCGTAGGTATTTGTTGCTTGCCAACAGTACTGGACGTATTCCGCATTGAACTTGTCTCTGTAATACTTTTGGCCTGAAAATACCAACTTTTTGAAACGACAAGACACCACAACACAAGTCCTTTAAAAAGTTAAAGTTTGCAAATACTGACCCTTGGTGGTCACTTGTTCAAGACTTGTGTAACCTATTTTATTGCATCATTACTTTTTTAAAACTCTGAGACAATATCATGGAGCAATATTTGCAACATTGCCCAGCCGTGGCCCACGGCAACTGGAGGGCTCCATCACGCTAAACCTCAGAGGAACAGTTGGAGCCTCTGTGTGTGTACAAACTCAGTGAGCGTCACTCAAGGTTTGGGGCAAGTGCATAGAGAATGAGAGGGATGCGGTGCTCACGAAGTTTGGAGTCTGTCATCGCCGTGTGAGGAACCCCAAAAGGAACTGCCGACCCGAACCGGAAAATCTCCCAGATGGTGGCCTCTGTGAAGGGCACTGAGCCCCTGTCATCCAAAGATGGCATTCTGTTACGACCTATGACCTCGTCAATTTCCATGGCAACCTTCTCCTGGATGTCAGGATGCTCTGCCATCAGAAGCACAGCCCAGTGGAGGGTGAGGATGGTAGTTTCCGTTCCCGCTTTGGTGAGAAAATAAAAACGAGTGAAATTAAACACCAGTCAATCAAAGAGGGAATCTGAGACAGCCAAATGAAAAAGACAAAGACAAAAGTCCAAACTTAAAACCAACGAAGCTGAGAAACTCTGCCATTCCAAGAGGTTACTTCAAGTCTAGGTTTACGATTTGTTTTTACCAGAATAGACGTACCACGTCCCAGTGACTTGTCCTGACTCAATTGTCATGAGGTGCACACTGTGATTTTGAACACTTTGGCAAAATCTAAGCAACAAATAGTTTGCATAGAGCCAATAAAAACCAAGATAGGCCATGACCAAATTACTTGGCTATGGCTGAAGACAGTACAATCTGTGGAAGGTGACAGCCACAGCCATTCGATTTGAAATCAGCCACACAGTTTTTCCATTACGATTTCTGCCACGTATCTCGGTACCTCCAAAAATGTCTGCCACCGTCTGGACCAGGTGGGTGTCTGTCAGACGGTCGGCTCCCTCCTCTCCGGCTTCAATGTTCTCCTTCTGGGTCAGCAGCAAGGAGTCAAAGAAGTCATGGATGTTCTCTGCCAATCAGTGTGAGACACAGACCAGTCAGAAATTGAATTCACTTTCGTAAGGGTGACTCCAAACTCGTATGAGGTATAGAAAGAAACTTGAAAAATCATGCCAGGTCTCAGTCCGGGAAAACAAAATATACTGGCAGTGAGGCATGGATGCAGGATTTTGGTCTAAATTGTGAGAACCACGATTCTGTTGTACAAATGACAGCAATCCATGCATGCAGTTTGTGGTGTCAGGGAGAGTATGTTGAAATAAGTTCCTTCAAAAAGGAGGCAGTCACGTAGGAACACAGAGTTAGCTTAGCATTTGATGCATCGGTTGTACCTGTATCGAAACTTTCTCGGTGTTTCTGGAGCTCTTTATAATACATTGCATGGTACTGCTTCAACACACGACCAAATTTCCTGTCTTTTGGGGTTGGCAGATAACGGAAGATTGGCAATATATCCGACGGCAGACCAGTACTAGCAACTCCAGATAGCTCCTGATTGATGCTTATCCATTCCATCAACTCTGGCTGGTTGAACTCGTATCTGTTACAAAAGAAAAGGCGTAGAGTGGATAGCACAGACAAGGTGCCGGATGACGTTTCACGGGTACAAATGCGTGCTGCCTCTCGTATTGGGAGCATTCAACCAAACCAGCCATTCCACAACATCATGCCTCGCAAGATCAACTGATTGGCCAGAATGTACATTCTCTGCATGAAACATGGGTGTTAATCAGTGGGGGAAGATGTCCTGTGGCCCCCACCCACTTATTAAAAGCGGGGAAAATATCATATGTCTCCTCCTGCCCGTTTTTCATTGCCGAATAAAAGTAGTAAGCCTGAATTTGGTGATACAGCTCACAGTATAAATTAGGGGTGTGAGTGGCCAGCCAAAATCCAAGCTGAAAATAGCTAGCAAAAAGCTGAAATGTTGAAAGTTCCCATATTTTTGTACAAACCAGGTGTACAAAAAAGCTGAAATTCAGGGTCAACATCTACAAAATGTAAACAACAAAAATCTGAAATCAGTTAAAAGCTGAATTCTCACACCCCCTCATGAATTCCTACGAACTTGAAAGCTATGGCAAAAAATGTAAACAAATATTGGGTAAAGTGGTCAGAAAATGCCTCAGATTTCACCACAGCGCACCTACAATCAAATTGTTCAGGGCTTTTAAGAGGGCCCCAGACTCTACACTTTTGGGGGCTTCATGGTCTTACTGGCATTGCTATTAGTTTAAGAGCTAGCTACATAAGATTTCTACCCATTTCACCCAGAAGGTTTGACCCCTTCAAGTTAATTAGGTTGTCCATGTCATTCAAAAAAATTGGTCAGCCCCCCCCCCCCGAGGTCAGACGGTTTATTTCACCTCATCTCATTCATGGATCAAACTTTGTCAAAACAAAGTAATATGATAGTACATTACAAAAAAAAACTGACTAAATATCTGGTTAGGAAGGTGTGGTCAGACCCCCTACAAAGTGCCCCCCAACAGCACCCCCAGGCTGACCAACTTTTTCTGAATGACATGGACCATCGGATTAACTTTAAGGGGTCAAACCATCTGGGTCAAATGGGTAGAAATCTTAGGTAGCTAGCTCTAAGACTATATAGGTATTATGTCTTCCCCACTTTTCAAAAGTGACTGATCCCCTTGCCAAGGTACCAGCATGTTTCGAAATCGCTCAGGCTCTATGCATACCAATTTATCACCATACAGTGCAGCCTGTCCATTCTCAGTCCCACAGGAAACCACTATGCTGGACACTTTTTACATGGAATGTTGCTCTTCATTTGTGTCAATGGGCCCTTGTGCATGCTATTCTGATCGCTGAGAGCTCATGGGTGACTACTCACTGCTTTGCAAAGCACAACGTAGACAGGATGTTGAAAACAATCTGGCCTACTGTCCATTTTGGAGCGAAGGATTTGTCTCCAAGATCATCCAGGATTTTGGCGATACCAGGAATGACGGTGAATACAAGCTTCTCCAAGTGCTCTTTCTGGGCAAAATGTCTAAAAACGTATCAATAGAGAGAGCAAAGTAGTTTTAAAGTTAAATTTAACAATAGAGGGCCTGCATGGAGCGCCCTCATAGAGGACAGGTCTTAGTTCCTGCCTGATATGCTTGAGTAGACACTTAATTGTCATCTAAATCTAAATAACAAAACATGTCCTCTGTGAGGGCGCTCCACACAGGCCTTCTATAAATTTATGCTCAACTGCCATGGGTACAATTAGACATGACAGCAGGGGCTCAATTCTAGTCCTTCTGTTACCATCTTCATTCAGTCTCTGTTAAAGCATTTCACTTTGGTTATGTTAAAAAAACCAAGACCTCATCTGTCTTTGCATCTGTCAAGAACTCGGATCTAAATGTACTTCTAACAAGTGGAGTGGTAATGTTACCAAGGGAAATGCCAAATTTTCTTTTGTGAAAGTGTCTTACTATCTACAAATATTTGGTTTGAGCCTTGGAGTGGATGGTTGGTACAAGCTCCCAAGGCATAGGAAGTTGTCAAACTAGTTCCTGTAAACAGGATATCAGGGAACTTTTTACAAACTTCAATGAATTGTACACATATTTATCAATATTGTACTTGAGACCCGTTAAGACGATCACAAGGCCCAACAAGACCATCATGAGACCAACACAAGACCTCCGGTCGGAATTGAAGTCACAAGCTATTCAAATGAACTGCATCACAAGCAGTCCTTTTGTTGTTGTTCACTTCGTTAATTGTGACCGGTCTTTTGACTGGTCTGGTGTCTGGTCTTGTGACGGTCTACACAACAGCACTGCTCTAATAGTGGCCAAATGAATTCCACACCATCACGCAATGAAGGGCAGGGCAGGGCAAATTGGGGGGGGGGGTTACAGGTGGGCTAGATGTACAAAGTTACAAGCACCTGATTGCAGTGTGGCCGAGTTTGCGTTGATATCTCCACTGAGGCCCGTAGTCTGTGAAAGCGATGTCTTTATATCCTTCCGTAATCAAGCTGACTGGAATGGGTAAAAAAACAATTCAAAAATTTTAATCATGAAGTTTTGAGCGACTTTAAGGGCTCACAAAAGGCAGATTCTCAACCAAGCATGAATCCTAGTTGACCTCCGGTAGCTGTCTAGAAGCTTTGGTTGTTTCATTAATACCACACAACCCCGCTGCAGGCCAAATAGTCTTGTTTTCTCTTAATACCTGAGTGAATGCTCGGTCGCCCGACAAAATCCAGTCCCTTTTTAATCAGAGCCTCCTTGACAACCTCAATGTTGTTCAGCAAGACCACGTTGCTGGTGCCCATCTTGAGGGAGACAATTGGCCCATACTTCTTCTTGAATTCTGCCGCTGATTCCAACATGGAAAAGAATTCTACAGAATGGAGAGAATGATTAAAAGGTTGGTACAATGAATTTTTCATTGATGCACTTCGAAGAGCAGAAAAACTGTGAAATATCAAGCAATATTATGAGGAAGTCTTCCGTGTCTGAGGATTGTTTGAGTGGGGTTAAAACTTCAATTCTTTCAAATGTCAAAATGGTCTGTGCTTTTCTGGACAACTGAGGGCGCTGTTGCTGTGGTATAATTTGGGGGAAAGACACTGCAGTCATCATTATATGAGTGAATACATACAATCGGTTATGGAACTGCAGTGATCAGTAAAAACCCAAAACACTGGGTTGGAAGTACATGCGTAGCTCCAGGCTAGGACCAGTCTACTGGACTCCACCCCTCCCCCTCCCTCATGTATCCTTGATAGGGAGGGAGTACAGTAGACTGGCTCTAGTTTGGGGCTAAAGTTGAGGTACACGTACCCGATAATGTGGATCAGTCATATACTATAGGCCCCTATAGAAAATAGGCTAGTCAAACACCGATCACATTGCCATCATATGGCCTTGTGTATTAATAATATTGTCGGACGTGACGTTCATGGTGGGGTAGAATTAGCCCCAGGCTGGGGACCAGTCTACTGGACTCCCTCCATATCAAGGATACGTGAGGGAGAGGGAGGGGTGGAGTCCAGTACTAGCAGTAGACTGGCCCCCAGTCTGGGGCTAGGGTAGAGCATGCCATGGAGCTTTGGAGGAAGGAAGTCAAGTCATGCATGGATAGAGGAAAGTGTACAATACTACGTTAATTTTTATTCAACTTACGGGTAATGTTTCCGACAAGCGGCAGTGCAGCTGGCCCGGGCGGGAAACCTGCGGGCCGCCTGGTGCTTCTGTAGAGTGCGTAGGCAACCAGGGTTCCTACAGCCACCAAGAGCGTGGTCACGTTCAGATAAGCATCTCCTGAAATGTTCAGAACAGCCATCGTATTGTCATACTTAAACTACATAAACCGAGGAGACTGGAACTCCGGCAGTAATTACTTGCGGAATGTTTTCAGAAAGGATCTAAGTTACATTTTGGACTCTGGTGGTGGTCACTCCTTGAGCCTTCTGCACACAAGTTCTAGTGCCGGCTTACTGCGACGGTTTCGGTGCAAAGTCCAACAATAACACCGCAAAACGTACTGACGCTCTTGCGAATTGCAACAAGATCGAATCGTGCGACGTCGGACATAAAGGACGCCATCTCTTGGCCACTCTCCACTTAAATATGAGATATTTAAAAAAACAACCAAAAAACAAAACAAAACCAGCTGTTACAACTATCTTGACTACTTTGTGACATTGGCAAATTTTTCAGCGATTTAAACCTTCCATTATCTTTCCATCATGTTTCCTCTCGAAAAAGAAAGGTAAAATATATATTTTGATTTCAATCATACAGTCAACTCCGACTGCCACAGGATCGGTCGCAACTTTATTTAAATCTTTATCCTTCAGTTCATTTTGTCATTATGCTCGATTTTCGCTCACTAATTTATACAAAGTTTACGTGTACAAAAACATGTGGAATGCGATGACATTATACTAGTGGGGAGATGCCATGCTGACGGTTCTGAACATGCCAAAAACGCACGCTGTGACGAAAAGCTTGAGATTTCTCAGTCAATTAAATCCTTAAAATAATGTACAAGTACATGTTTAATACGCTTAAATTTAAAACGGTTACAATGAATAAAAAATGGATGAGTGGGGCTCCAACCGTAAATACAATTCCTAATCGAGAACAATGCACGATGTAGGTTCAACGTTTACACTAGTCAGTGTCAGGATCAAGTTCGGGTCACGTGCGCAACCTAACATGTCACACAATCTCGACCAATCGCCGTCACGGAACGTGGCTCCAGGTCACGTCACTAGCACTGCTGTGTCACCTGTTAAGACGCAGAAATCATCACTAAAAATGTATACCCCGCTCATCATTTTCGGGCTCCGCATGCTCCATCGTCTAGGGAGCCCTCCGACGTTTGTGTGATGGTTTTCTTCGGTAACGAACATTTTTTTTACACAACACTGGGGAAACAAGACTTGAATAAAAGCCACAATTATGGCCCTGGAGTAAATTATCGAAGGCGAAGTACCGTGCATAATATAGCCTCCACGGATGTGTTCGCGCGGTTGTTCCAGTTATCACCGTAGGATGCGTGCGCATTAGTAGCGAGTATACTCTCGCTGACCCTGGGGTCGTACTACAGCTGTTCGAGCGCTTAGGAGTATACTCGTGTTAATCATTACTCGTGTTAATGCGAGTAGCTCGCTCGAACGCATCCCACGAATCGTCGTGTCCTCTCGAGACTGGCAATAGGAATCTGGTACATGGTGTTTCCCCAGCATCGGTCACGTTGTGTAATAAAAACCACGTCGCCAGGTAAATCCGCTTGATTAGTCATCCTTACATGACCGATCGGTTACGACTCATCCACCTTGTGACAATTTATACCTCGAGATAAGTTCATCAAACTTCCTAAATGAAGAATCTTACATGAGAAGTTTTACTCCCCACGGTACATAAATCGTCCCGCCCAATTGGGGTGGGGGAATGATTTGCTTAGGGCGCCAAAATATTTGTGAAACTATTTAGAAAATTAGGAGCTCATCTATGACCTATATATATATCTCAGCGACTAGGTCATTGCGAATACCGTTTGGTCTACTTAGCCGCTTTGGGAGGGAAGGAATGAAACAGTGAAACATTAACCTATAACTCTCTTGATTTATGAATTTTTTTGAAAATGCCGGGGGGGGTGTTCATGGCCCCCGTTATGTTTTATTCTGGATCGATCCGTGTTTTCCCCTGCCTGCAATTTGTTTCTCAAAAACAAGAAGCCGGGGGGAATCCACCTTGAATGAAGGCTACGTATTCTTGGCTTTGGAGGATTTTTTTTTTCAAGGAAGTAAATTCCGCCATTTTAACGGGAACTTTGCTTCCGCGTCTCTTGAAGAATAGTCTCCCATTTCAAGACAGGCCGGCGATGAAACAATTTTCCCAACGAAAGTTCCCCCAGAATGTTGTGCAATCAAAAATATACGCGGCCCCGCCTCTGTCCCGCGACGTGACCATGCACATACCGAGCTACAAATATCACTTAAAATAATTATTTCCCGAAAGATGGATCCCACAACCCAGTGCATGATCGTACCAAGAAGCTAGACAGACGGTGACCTTCTAAGCACAGTTTTGTGCGTCAGAGTGACCAGCAAAAATAACGAAAGTTCCAAGTTGAAAGAAAATTATGCAGAAGGCTGCAAGTGCAAAAGAAGTGGCTTGACCGCTTTGTGTGACTCATCACAATTTTTCTTTCGCGGACTACAAACAAAACCGGGAATCCTCTCCCAAATTGAAAGGGCCGGGGAAAATCATAGCATTCTTGCATCATATTATACGGCGCGATTTACTTCATATGCATAAAATATAACAGCTGTGGAAATCCTCCCAAAAGTAACGTCACGAGATATCACGCCATTCACACTGGCAACCAACCGCTTGTCCCGTCAAACCTGGGTGAATGGTGATCGCAGGGCACCAGTTCATGCACGCAGTTTGTGTGCGTGAGTGCACCTTGCAGGCCAGACGACGCGTGATGTGCGGTTGCACTCCCACATACACCGGTAATGTATGTAAAATTCGCATTGTGCAGATATTCTGGGACGGGTGACCTTGCAGCAGTGCCCTCAAATTTCGAGTGCGGGAATTCGTAGATTGATATATTCTTCACAGTTCTGCTCAGTATTTGTAGGCAAGCAGTCCTGCGGACCAAATCGTCCTAACGTCAAGTTTTGGTTCAAGCATTTCAAAGTAAGTGTCATTTTTCAAATGCTCGCAAAATTTGCCTTTTGGCTTTGAAAGTGTTAGGCCTGGATCTTAGCACTTTCTGATGTAGCCCGAGTCTCATCGGCACATTCCACAGTAATTCTTGTTTCGACGTCTTCTTTCGTCTCTTGTTTGTCTTGCACGGCTGCTGCCCGCATCTGCATATTTCTTCCTCGTCAGTGACATCCGTCCAGGTCTGCTGACCTGGAGGCTGTTGATTTTGGGATAATGAGCTAGGATTATAAATACTGTGTGCAATATTTTGTTCTTGCAATAATGTTCTTCGCTTCCAATGTGGTACGTGGGATCATGCAGTCACGGTGCACGCATGACTAACACTGTGTTATAGCTGCATAATACAGAGAATTATTGATCAATTTTCGGAGCAATATTTCCTGTATTATCGAGTCGATTGTAGTATTTTTCTCTTGACAATCATCTTTTAAACACGTGTGGGGAAAGTATAATTATTTCTTCGTTGTACCTCGATAGGGCGCAAGGCAGCCTCACGGAGATTAAATCACTTATCACTTAAAAGCCTGAATATTCAATAGTAGGCCTAGTCGTCTTGTTTGTTGTCACTGAATTTCAAATTATTTTAGGATCTTACAGAGGACTCGATTCGTATCTCAGTCATGTATTTTCCTGTCTAGGTTTCGTTTTATCGCGAGTTTTCTGACATATATTTCTAATCTGATTTCTAAAAATCTGGCTCCCTTCTAGTCACAGTACTGTATGCCCTGATCCAAAAACAGTTGACTGAGAGGATTGTGCATAGTTATCTTGCATAAAATTAATGGTCGACTTCCATGTCGAGCTTCCAGAGCTACGGCTACGTCTATTGTCAGCGCTTCTCCCCGTACACGCTTATCGCATATTTTCAATGGAGCGAATACCTAGACCTATAGCTGTAGGCAACAGATTCGGATGAAGCCTTAGGCTAATTATAAGGACGTGGAATGAAAGTTGCATGTGCTTCAGTATCCTTGACTAAATAATTAAAATGGTGTTTTCGTTATCCCCGGCATAATCTCATGTAAACCTGTGCATAATACGCGCTTATCGGAGTTAGGGGCTTTATACAATGTTACAGCAGTTGACTGAAACTTGAATGAAGTGTGATTACCGGTATTTGATTATTAAAAATATTAGCAATTGATTTTACAAATCTGATTCAATTTTGACAAATTTCGATATTTTTGATGGAAAAAAAAATCATTAGTCCTATTTGAACAAACCTGAGCATGATACATGTACTGAGAAACATCCCTTCGTTCTATAGCTTCCTTTGTGCATAGGCCTGAAGCAGCTTGCAGTGCAAAGGTGTAGTGGTACTTTACTATCACCCGATCGAAAACAGGTTGATTAGACAAATACTTGACAGCTCAGCCAAACATTTTTTATACATGTGCTCCATCGGGACAATAGACCATAAATAACTTATAGTTTCTGTGGGTTATGGTTAATCAGGTCAGCGAAACTATGCAGGCCTATTATGATGGAGATGCTATCCGAGAGTGGACCTGCTTGTGTATGCAGCTAGCTAGAGCCAGCCAGGTACATGACGACATGACCGAGCGGGGAGCGGCTGGTGCGCGAGACATGACGTTCGCAGTGCATATCGTGTACATGCATTGAGATGCGAATGTGCCATGATGTATGCACGACGATGAATTTTAAATTGGCTCCGGAGTCCATTGCATTTACATGTCGACTGCGGCTTCGCACTGCACGCTTGTTTTTGACCCTTTGCGTTTTGCGCCCCCCCCCACCTCTCTGAAAATCCTGTATCCGCCCTTGGTGTCACATGACTGGTTCAGTGCACTGCCATGGAGATGTGACTAGTTGATGCCTTTTTTTGTCTAGAAAAAGGCAGGCCATGTCTTGAAAAAAGGGAGTGCCCTTTGTATTTGCCACATCATATACTCCTGGAGTTTTAAAAAAAAGTGAGATTTAAAAATTGTTTTACCGTAAAAAGAAGACAAAGTAGAATCATCTGGATGTGTCAGCGCTGCGCCGCGCAACATTACATCTCATTTGCTTTCAGAAATTGCATTTTATTGAACATTAAACGGATGGGGGAGTCTGACACTGTCTACAATTTTCCTGGTACAATCTGTCGGAACTTTTCCTCCAGTCGACAGTACGGCAGTTTACACGTAGCCACTTTTAATTTATTAATGGAAATTGAACTAGCCTATTTTACATAATTTACCAGAAATGATTTTATTATAAATACCATAAAAATCGTCCTCTTCCTGTGACGTTCGTGGAATCGTTAAAACAGGTTTTGGGGCAAAAGTAAAAAAAAAAATTGTTGACCTGAAAATTAAACGAAAAACTTTTTCTTTCTGTCCCAGGGGTGAGATTTCTCAGCTTTTTAGCTGATTTCAGCTTTTTGGTTTGGGATTTCACCTTTTTTTCTTCACTGGCTGTGTACAGAAGTAAAGGAGATTTTCACATTTTAGCTTCTTTATGCCCTTTTTTTCAGCTGTTTTCAGCTATTTGGATCATCAGTCAATCTCATCCCGGTTGTCCCAAACACACCCCAAGCATCCTGTTGTGCTTTTGCTACGCATCCCATTGGCTAGGCTATGAATCAGTGGTTTTTCAAATGAAATTATAGAATTTCTGATTTTTTTTAACAAATAAGGACGGCTACAAATAAAATTTTTTTGTCTTTCCTCAGCTTTTGTGCGAACTAAAAAAAAACAAAACAAAACAAGAGTGATGGCACCAAAGAATATAGTCTACGGCACCGTAGAGGTCGCCCAGGAAGATACCCCTGAGGATGACACTGCCGCCACCAACCCCTTGGACGACGACCCAGACATGCCGAGCACGGCCGAGGGGCCGCCCCGCACGGCGACCGGTACCGCCAAGCCTGGGGACCCGTCCGAAAACCAGACCAGGATCGTCTGGCGGAACGTGATTTTGATGGCAGCATTGCACGTGGTCTCGGTGTACTCGTTCTTTTTCCTGACTTGGAAATGCCGCCCCTACACCTTGCTTTGGGGTGAGTTAGAAAGTTACATGTACATCAATTTTCCTTCAAAAATTGTTTTGCTTTTCTGTTTCGGAGTCTTTTCACATGTCGCATGGCACTAAAAGTAATCGTTCTATGTGTTCTAGTTTCCTTGAAATATTTTGGCCACCCCTTATTTACTCTTTCTTCCTGGCCAGACGTTTAATTGCATTTTTACTATGCGATATTATCTAAACACAAACGGACTCAATACGAATATGACGGACAGTGTATTGAACTGAGCAAACAGTTCGGGACAATCCCAGCTGGTCCCTGGTCGTTAGGTTTTCCTTTTAGTTTGCCCATTACTACTACATTTTGGACAATGTGGAGTCGGGTGAATTAAGAGCAGCATCAAAAAAGTGAGGCGAAGTGAAGTTCCCCTGGTAGCATAAATGATTTGTAATTGCCTGTAAGCCATTTCATGGGTGCTCTCAGGATCTGCCAGAGAGTCATCCCTGAATTAAATTTGCACACAGCAGTCGCTGTGTTGATAATCTGAAATTTGCACAGGGTGGCATCAGTCGGGTTTAAACTTCAAAAGGCGCAAGGGTTAAGTACTTCATCACTGCTGCATGTGATTTAACTTCTCTGCGATCACAAAAGGCAGATCTGATAAAATTTCCAACTGGTGTAGTCATACTGAACATTTTATCTTGTGCGCGGATTTAATCGCATACAATAGGGAATAACGGATTTCATCATATGCAAGATGAGTCATGTTTCTTTTGCCTGTGTGCCTAAATGGTATGCTCAAAGCAAGAGGGACAGACTATCTATATCAGCGGACTAAAGGTCGGTTCACACTTGGTGCGAAAGGGGGTAGGAACTTGACATGTGACGTCAGATAAAATATTCACGAATGCAAGAACTGACTTTATGTATTTTTGTCAGCATTCCAGTTCAAGAGCATTTCACTGCGAATGTGTCGCGACGTCAAAATTGCTTGGCTTTTGCCTGAAGTCTGAAATATCCACAACGCTCAAAGTATTGTTTCCAGTCATTCAGAAAACTAATAAGGGGGAGTCTTGGATTCCACCCTGGACCTCTCTCGGCCAAAGAAATTCACAAGCCGATGTTTCGACATGAAGTCCTGTGGCCCTTCCTTGAACCTTTAACATTTAAATGTCCAAAATTAATTTCCCTAAAAGTAGGGCTTGTCCGGGAATCGAACCCGGGACCTCTCGCACCCTAAGCGAGAATCATGCCACTAGACCAACAAGCCGAGGTGTTAGACCCTTGAACCAAAACGTTATTTCAAAATGATAACATTATGAGGGAAAAAAAATACTTTACGGGCTTGTCCGGGAATTGAACCCGGGACCTCTCGCACCCGAAGCGAGAATCATGCCACTAGACCAACAAGCCACATGAGACGGCTCGGAAAAAGCTGTTTATAGCGAGTTGCGAACGAGCGACGTGAGGTTCAATCATTGTTTTAGAACCAGAACAGTGGACAGTGAGCGTACAGTCGTCCTGCACACATAATAAAGCATACATTTTTCCCCCAATTCTCAAGTTAGCGCTACACTCCCTCCACATACGGCTCTGGCTTAGACGAATAATACCTTACCTAGAAAGAGTGTGGCAACAACTTTATTGTCTTCATTTCCTGATTGCAGCCGTCGGTATGTATGTCTGCTCGGGCCTGGGTATCACTGCTGGTGCTCATCGCCTGTGGGCCCATCGTTGCTACAAGGCAAAACTTCCGCTTAGGATTCTTCTGGCCATTTTTAACTGTATGGCATTCCAGGTAAGCTGGAATATTGATAACCGTGACGACAAATATACATAAAGCCACTGAAAATGAATCAAGGGAAACCGAGAACAACATGATCAAAATGCTTGAGGAAACCTGGCTGTGGGTTGGAAAACTGTCGTTGCAATTTCTCAATGATCTACTAAAGTGAGCCCACTTGAAATAATCGAGATACATACACACACATATATTAAAGGCCTTCTCAGTAGTTATAGAGTACCGAAGTGAATACGTCACGCGCACAATTAGTGTGTTAAAGGCATTAGCGCATTCGTTTGCACTGCACCTTCTGGTTCACAGTGACGTCACACTTCGGTACTCTATTGTGCATCACAATTTGAGTGGTCACTGAAGTGCGCCAGAAAACCGAAACACCCAAATTAACTTGAACAAATGGTTTGGTGTTTAACACGCGTATGCCAGTCAGACGTTGGTTGTTGGTTCCATCGTAAACTCGACAAGACACTTGCTGCTTGTGCATATTCCAACTCCACTTTTCAGGACTGCTTTGCCTAAAACGTCCTCGTATGTCAGTAGTCGTTGATTTCGGCAGATTCAGCAACATGTCTATGTGTCTTTCCATCAAGAATGACATCTTCGAATGGGCTCGCGACCACCGTGTTCACCATAAATACTCAGAAACGGATGCAGACCCACACAACGCCACCAGGGGCTTCTTCTTCTCCCATGTGGGCTGGCTGTTGGTCCGTAAGCACCCTAAGGTCATCGAGAAGGGGTCGAAGATTAACCTCCGGGACCTCATCGACGACCCGGTGGTCAGGTTCCAGCGAAAGTGAGTGTTACCGCTGTTTGTAGTCGACTTTTAACCTTTGGATGCCGCGTTGTTTTCACATCCAAAGCACGATTCTGAAGTCAATCTGTTGTCGGTGGTCACCTCGGGGTTCGACTTTGCCGAAGTGAAATTCTGTTAATTAATGAATTGACCACCTGTTCAGGTTTATTGCGTTGAGAAGTTTCTTTCTGCGCTCAATGTTTTAACAGATGGGCCTTTAGACCCCTCCATATCAGCTCGGTGTGTTGATTAGTTTCCAAATTAGAACTCGTTCCCGAACTTGCGCTGTCCTGTCAGTTGATTGTTTCAGAAGAAAATTAAAAAAAAAAAGAAAATTGCGAAACAAAAACAAACAAAACTACATTTCTCAGGAGAAAACGATGCTGTCGAACTTTTCAACATGTAGCCTATGGGACATACTGAGAAAGAAAATAAATTGTTGCTGCCTTTTATGATCTTTGCAGGTACTACCAGTCACTGATGTTCTTTTTCTGCTTCGTGGGACCGACTATAGTCCCCATTTATCTGTGGGGGGAGACATTCTGGAACACGCTGTGCGTGGCCACGCTGCTCCGCTACTGCTTCCTGCTCAACTGCACCTGGATGGTCAACAGCGTGGCGCACCTGTGGGGCTCCCGACCCTACGACCGCTTCATCAACCCGGCCGAGAACCGCCTGGTCTCCTCCTTGGCCATCGGCGAGGGCTGGCACAACTACCACCACACGTTCCCCTGGGACTACAAGACGGGCGAGTTGGGTTGGCGGATCAACTTCACCACCATGTTCATCGACCTGATGGCCGCCCTGGGTCAGGTGTCCGACAGGAAGGTCGTGCCCAAGGCGACTATCGTAGCCCGGAAGAAGCGCACTGGTTCGTTGGTGGCAGCGGCGGGATGCGATTAGACAGCATTTACTCATAGGCTTCTACTTTAAATTAAAAGAGTTTTTTGTGCATGTAGACAGTTTTCCTTCTGGGGATTTCCTTTGTTGATCGTTGAATTAATGATTTACATTCTAAGAGCGGGCGGAACAACTTGAACTCTGAACTAACGATGAAAGTCAAATATGCTTGTCTTTACAAATGCGAATTACATTAAAGCTTCTAGAAATGACTGGTGTTATGCAATCGTTTCCAACAACGGAGTGACGTGTGCAGTATTTCTTGGCGTTAGCTTAAATTATCTTACAGTGTAAAGTGAATTTTGACTAATAAGCGTTAGTCATTCCCTATACCTGAAGTGACGTTAATTAGTCAGGTAAGCCAAATGGCCATCACTTAGTCAAATATAAGTCACAAATTAGCCACGGTGATTAAATAAAAAATTCTAAAATCACAAAACGCTGGTCATCTGATTTTTGCTGTTAGCCATTTAAAGTCATTCTTTGAAGGCACGAAAGACTGAACTTTAACTGAAGATAACTAGCTTCATAGCTGACTTCAAAGTTCATCTGAAAAAACTAGATATAATGTAAAGATAACGAACAGATCCAATGAAAGCAAAGGTTTATTGTTTGGATTTGCCTTAATTCATTATCGAGATTACCCAGCGATATCTCAAGTCCTACCAGGAGGTTCTCAAAAAAATACATGCACGTGTAGTTTTTAACTTTATTGGTCAGTTAACAGTAGTTTTATAACCATCTCCAAATTTATCCACAAGCAACTCAGTCATACAATATTTTTTTCACCACACAAGCAAGTTTGCACTTTAAAAAAAGATTAAGTAATAAAAAATGACGTATTTCTTGTTGCAGTAGAGTGATACAACGTGAAGAAAGAAATGTTGCCCCCAGCTCACCTTTTCTTCGCGGTGGAATCCTTAGAATGATGCTCCTCGGTCCATGTCAAGTATTCTCGCTGGTTCACGGCTCAGTTGTGGTGTATTTTACATTTATATTCTAGACAGCTACATTTACCAAAATAACCACAACGTGTTTTTCATATTACTTCACGATTAGCAGTGACATTTTAGGAAAATTAGTTTCGTGTTTTATATCCGGTTCGTAGGTGACTTTGTCACAAAGGCGGAAGCGCCACAATTTGCAGGCTCCCATTGGACGATCGCTGAAGTTGCGCGTTAACTTCCGGTTCCATGTAAACGGTGATCAGTGCATGATAACTCTATGTCCAGTGCATGTGCAGTGGGCATGGTTTAAACTAAAGTGAAGTCACACTTAAGAACCGGATAGATGTACCGAGGTGTGACGTCATTTTGGACCAAGAAGTGTAGTGCAAATGAATGGATCCTCACGCGTGTTGGTTCACAACCATCCAATTCGTGACTTTGTCATACATGCGCACGCACCACAAATTGCTCCCATTGATGAACCGAAAAGTTGCGCGTTTATAACTTCCGGTTTCATGGTTCCTCACACTCTATGTGCAGTGGACGTGGTTTAAACTGAAGTGACGTCACACTTACGAATCAAGGTTGCGTTTTGGCGGTCTTAATAAGAAACGGTTCGGCTGTAATTTTTCATAGATTTTCTTTGGTAATTTTAATCAAATAAGAATTGAGTGCGATGATGTAGTACTCAAACCCTCAAAGCGATTAACCAAAGAGAAACAAACGAACCAGTCCTTGGTTATGACCGCCAAAACACACCCCAGATAATCAGAGCGCGTGACGTATTCACTTTGGTACTCTCTAAGGAAAGCACCGTTTGTAATTTCTGTGTTAAGATAAACAAAAGCAGTGAGTGTTTTGAGGTAAGAATTAAAACAATGCATTGAAAAATTAATGCGGGAGTGCAATGCAGGATCGTTTTTTTATGTGTACAATAATAGCCACACCCCCTACATCCTGGCCTTTAAAACTGGTCGCGGCCCCGTGCTCATGATTATTACATTCGTTTATAAACATCTGAACTCATCTGATGCAGTTATGTCGACCTGCGATGGCTTAAAATAACGAACCAGCGTCTGGAAACGTAAGCATTCTGCAGGTAACGTAAACTGGAATCTACCTCTGTTAAGCTCCATGAGGCAGTCATTTCTGTGTTTAAAAAAGACGTAAAGAAAAGTATGCCAATGTAAGGCAGTTAAACAGGCGGAGGACTGACGCGTTTCGAAGGTTGAACGACACACAAATCGGATATAATCTCGATAGTCGGATATTTCAGGTATTATCTTGGTTTTAATACAGACGAACCCGCCACCACTTCATACAGGACAATTGCCTCTGTTAACCTCTGACAAATTAAGCAGAAAGAACTCGACAGTAAAAAAGATAACTTTTCCGATGCACAGTTTTCACAAAATATGAACTGGTTACATAATCGCAACAAATTTAGAGTAAATAAATATTTCACCAGCGTTATAGACACTCAAGTCGTCTATTATGTAACTTTGAATGGAAAGGAATGTACATGCAGATCAAACGTATACGATTCACTATACACACGTATGGTTTTAATGAGTGTATATTTTCAAAGTAACGTTCATTTTACCGTAATCCATTCCACATTCCCCATATTCAGTAAAAATGGATCAGCCCATACATGTACATCCCATGCACTTATATGGAAATGATCCAAAATGTACAACTGATTTTAAAAGGTGTCAGAACTGACATTTGGAATACTGTATTATCAAATTTCAACGTTGAATTCCACATTTTAAGACAGTTGACACTACTGCAGGCCTTAACTGAGAAGTTGAGAAACGTACAGCAGTGTCATTGTGAACATCTGGCTACTCGGAAGTCCACGTGTGGGCAGAACTACTAATCTAGGCCTATTAGCCCAGAGATGGACCAAGAGAGGGTGCAATTTTCCATGCACCTCTGGTTCACAAACGACTATAAAATGCTTGCGACACGGTCGCATTGCTACCAACAAAATGAGCACTCCCGACCAACATGGCTGTTTTCAACCGATGAGCGAAACAGCACGGGAGACAGACGGGTATGCTTGGAGAGTGAAGTTTTCAAAGTAAACTGTGATCCTACTTGATTGAGCAGCTAAAACGATGTTTCGTGAATGTTCAACCCATAAACAAAATTGGTGCACGCTCTTCTGTATGCGTAGAGGACAATGAACGCAGTTTCCTATATGATTTTATTAAATCACTTTGCAGGTATTTATTTTGATTTTGTGCCAAAATAGTTCACATCATAAGTATGTACGAGTCAAATCAACTCAAACCGAATCACTTCAAGCGTATAACTTTGTACATGTCGTACGTAAAGTAAGTTAAATGTACATAAAACGGAATACACAAACATAACCTACGCTTATTTACAAAGTGAATCGTAAAATTTAAAACAACAGACATTGTTAAGCGTCAGATATTAGTGTAATATTCGACATACCAGTGGCTTAAATTTCCTAAAGGAAGGCCTTAATTCTCTCAGACAATAATCGATTATGCAGTGATTTATTTCGTAAAAATGGCAGCATTTTGCAAGGATCGTGGTCGGTTCTGTTGCTATAGTTTGAAAGCCAATAAAGCACTTGGCAGGTTTTGATAACAACAAATAGCGTGGATAAACTTTTTTCGCGTTGTAATAAACAGTATCCGCAAAGCATTACGCTCGCAGTCTATTAACAGTATTTGTCATTCAAAGATACTGATATTAATCAGTGTCCTTGTTTATCGGGCTCACGCCATCGGAACATTTCTGAAACCATCTTAGCTCCCTTGGGCGACAGTGTGGACGGTTAGATGTGCCTGGAGGTGGATATTTGGTGGGGGAGGGCAGAATTACCTTTAGCATCGGCAACGATGCTGGTACAAATTCAGTTCGCAATCGTGAACTTCTGGCCTGCCGTTTCACCCTCCTTTTCCAGAAACACAAAAATACAACTTCCAGGAAACAAAGAGTGAAGACATCATTTAAGTATACTGGTAACATTTCATGGCGATAATTAGGCTGTTGCTGGGTTATTTTTTAGATTGGGAATTTTTAGATTGAGTGTGCGATCACGCAATGTGTTCGTTTCTAGTTTGCGGCGCGAAGCCAGCATGTCGAGAGGCTGGTTTCACCTTACCCCTGTTTATAAACCGCTCAATTCGAGAAATACTATCAGAGGCTTCCCAACTGCCCACTCCAGCCCTCACTGTGTTTATAACATGCAAACAGCTAACTGTGGAGGCTTTTCGTGGTAGCCATTTTACACGGCAGTTCTTTTGTTCCTCCTTTGTGCAGACCCTATGGAACAAAAGCACTGGCCTGCAAGATGGCAGCCATGCAAATTCTGTATAAATAACAAACCTCGGTCTTCGTAGAGTAATTAATTACTGAGTGGTAAATTGCTTTGCCCAAGGACATGCGTGACTCAGCACGACTGGCTGGGCACCCGTGTTCAGGTTGTATCATAAGTCTGATAAGCCAGTCGACGAGTTAAATTATGTCCCAGTGGTTTTAGATTATTTCTCGTTTCAGGCAAAAATTTGGGTTATCAAAGATATCAGTACTCAACTTTTTCAACCGCGGGATTTTAGGAGTACACTACACTGTACTAACTGCAGACACTGCACACTAGACAGCCATTTTGGGGGTGATCATCACAAGTATTGGTGGTCGGCAGGCGGAGAGCAGACCTGCTTTCGTAGATGCTGATGTGGATAGCGGAAACACATCGTACATGACTTTATCACGCAAGTGGTCTCCAAAAGGAAACCGTGATTTACTGTGGTGCAGTTTGTTAATATTTCGCATTACAACCTGTCACCGTTTTGGTGGTAGCTCGAAAGGCCCTCTTTCAGCTTAGGGGGAGTAGGCCTAGTCTTCTACCAGAAGTTGACCCCTTCCGTTCCTAAAAATAGGCAACAGTGAGATGAAATAAAAGAAAAATATGCATGTGAACAGGTGCTGGTGGGTGTCGACGTGATGACCATCATAGGACAAGAAGCTACTTTTCCATAGCAACCCAAATACGTTTAGCAGTTTACAAGTACTAAAGGAAATAAATTCACGGAACAATTTGCTCTTGTAGTCTAGACATTTAAAAAAAAATCTTATCCAGCTTTTGGTGACAAGCACTATATCAGGCCAGCCCGACTGCATCCAGAACCCTTCGACTACTAGAAAGCAAATCTTCGCAATGTTATACATTCTCGTTCTCACGTAACTACATGAAGTGAAAACAAACAAGGCTGAACAAGGAGACATATAGGTGGAAACGCTAATGTCGGAAGTGAAAGGTCGTTAATGAAATTCGTGATACCCATCTCCAGCTGACTTCGCAACAATATTACTTGAAGAATTCAAAGATCAAATTCAAACATGAGTGCTTCCTGAGGTGGTTTCAGGCAGAAATCATTCTTCCAAAATTTATAAAATGTGAGGGCGGTCCCATGGAAAATCACACAGGTGGGTCGCATCAGGGTTGATGAAGCCCGCTGTGCCACTTTTTACTTTCGGGCTGCATTGTGTTGAGAGTAGGCCAAACTCATCAACCGACAGGAACTCCAAAAAGAGACTGTAATGTATAAAACTCACGGTGTGTAGGTCCTTTCGTTCCATTTCTGACCGTTGCCAATTCTCTCCAGGGCTTGTTGGTCAGGTGGGCCCAAACTAGTTGGCATGGGCGGGCCGCCATTTTTACCAGACCGCTGGTGGTTGAACTGTAGATAAAGCACAGACGGCTTTTCCGATTAGCAAGTGACTGTTAAAGGAGTTTTGGAATTGGACTGAGGAAGAGTTCGCAGGGAGTCTAGTTTTAGTCGAATCTTTCACATGCCCCTTCACGGTTCAATTTACTTGTCCCCTTCACAAGACCGGTCATAACAACTTGGAAGAACACTGACAAAAGAATGCTTTTGTCATATTCCATGTGAATAGCTTATGACTTAATTGGTCGAAGACGGATGACCTCTAATGGACATAGAATAGACTCGTGATGGACCGTGACTCGACTAAAACATGGCTAATGGACATGCAATGAAAGGGACACATTTGGAGTTCACAATTTGTATTCTATGAAGATGAACGAATTAATTCAGCGATGAACGTCACTGTTTCCAGATTTATAAAAGCTTTTTTTTTCAGTATTTAAAGTTTGGCTAACTTAAATGTTTGTTTTCAGTGCAAGGACGATTCTGGAATATTACCCTAAACTGTGTTCCAAAAAGGAAAGTATTGAAGGACGAATCCTGGTGCTCACGCACAGCCTCATATTTCAGCTATCGTTCCTGAGGTCTGATTCGACGTTTCCCTTTTCATTACACTTATTCGGAGTCAGGTAAACAAGTTGTTGAAATCTGCTTTGTGCACACTTGCAGTAATAAGGAACACAGTTTTAACCCTACCAAGCTGGAAGTTCGTGTGGTGAGGCTGGACGTGGTACTCATGCGGCTTCGGAGGCGTCGGCGCTGGTTAAGCTTCTCTGTGCACGGCCCGCATCGCTGCAGCAATCGCCGCACGTCAGCCTATGGGTCACCAAAAAAAGGAGAGAACAGAACTTAAAAGTCTTTACCATGCACAGAGCGTGTTCTTCATTAACTCCTCCAAACACACTACAGGTGAACAGTTCCAAGCAGGCATGTTTTAATTGATTACAGAATATTTCTGTCTATTGCGACGATGGCTTTTCAATTTGGTCATCTAGCTTTATTTGCTTTGCTTTAACAACTGATGTAATTTGTCTTGTGACTAAATACGGCCAGCCAGTTAAGGACCTTCTCATGCCATGTAATAATTATATTCTGCGCTATCGATCTTTGTACTAAAAACATACAAACAAAGCTGCATTTATCAATTTCAACATACATTTATTCAGTGGCAATATTAATTAAATAACGGACGCGGTTTATCACGTAATAACAATTGTACTGACGCACTATATAAAAATAAAACCACTAAACCATCACGAAGCTGTATGCACTTCTCAAGTTTAATAAACAATTTCAAAATCATGAATAAATTTTCATCAGGGCATGCCCTGCTAGCCTTCGTGGATGCAGCTATTACAATCCCTCCTTAAGAAGTGGGACGCCACTGACGCAAATACCACCCCAAACTACATCCAGAAGATCTGGTGACCTATATCACGAGCAAGCCTTTCATACACAGCTGAATTACTGATATCCTGTAAGCTAAAAGCGATAGATTACTGGAAAATGAACACAACCGGATTGAATATGGGATTTAAATACAGTGTACATGCAGATGATTGTATTCTTCCCGAAATGGACATGGAAATCATGAATGTCACTGACAAATAAGACGTGACAATATAAAATGATGTGAAATGTGACAACTTGTGCGTTGTCATTAACATGAAAAACAGATTTAATGACTTGTTTCTATTCGTCCACATCTCGCAAAGCGCACGGCCCTTTGAAAATAATTCTCTCTGCCGAGAGCTGTTTATGTCATAGAGCTTTGTCAGGCTTGCAGGTTGACATAAAAAATCGACGAAATACCACTATGATTTGAAGATGGAGAACATGCAAGTCAACAAATTACAAAAATTAACTAATGAGCGACACAAGGATCATTATATTGACGAGAAGCGTAATGTCGATCATTTCCCACAATGCCATTATCACTACATGCCTTCTATTGAGCGACAGGTTCAGCTGTACTCTATGTACAATGCCCCTGTTCGGTCAAGGAATTCTGTGGCTGGACTTCACACTCTCTCTTCCTGCATAGTTACCCGGAAACTGTCGTTCAGGAAGCCGAAGACGATGGGGTTCATGAAGCTGTTGGCCATGGCGAGCCAGTGGCCGGTGAAGAAGTAGACGAAGAAGAAGTTCGGGTAATCGCTGACCACAGCGTTGTTGGTGATGACAATCAGATGGTAGATGTAGAGTGGAAGCCAGGAGCCGATGAAGAGAAATACGATCATCATCAACATCTTGATCACCTGAAATGACAGAAAACAAAGAACCTTAGGCTAGGCTACACGCCTTGTCCGACTTAATGGGTGTAGCGATTGTACGGGCGGCAGCGGCACTAAACGCCGAATTTGAAAAAAGCTGCGTTTTTCCACTGCCATTCGAGAGCACGGCATACAGTGCATCGTGTCACACTACATGGCTGCTGTGCCAAAATGCAATACGCGCGTTTTGCAGTAGTGCGCCTCCAAGAGTTAGCAACACGTCGGCCCATCACAATGCGCGAAATCTGTCGACCCAATGCGCGTTTGGAAATTGCTACATGCCAAAACAGGTCATGGCAGTTCACAATGGATATTTCAGAGAAGTCTAGAACCGTGATCAGTCGTTTCCACAAGAAGACCTCTCACAGCAAACAGCCACAAGCAAAAAGCTGGCTCCCAATCCTCGCTGGTGCACGGCCACACAACCAGCTCATTCTCGACTCATCGACTGTGCCTGACTAAGTAACCAAATTTAACAACGGTGATTGGCCCCTGCGTTGATGCATGGTTGTAAGCAAAAGGGTACATGTAGTATTTCCTTATCTGACTTTGATTCTATACGTGATTAACGCGGTTCTTTGTTTCGTGGTGTTTGTGGTACTTAGGCCTGTGAATGTTGGTACAAAGGCCCGTGAATGTTGGTACAAAGGCCTGTGGATGTTGGTACAAAGGCCTGTGGATGTTGGTACAAAGGCCCGTGAATGTTGGTACAAAGGCCTGTGGATGTTGGTACAAAGGCCTGGGGATGCTGGTACAAAGGCCTGTGGATGTTGGTACAAAGGCCTGTTGATGCTGCTACAAAGGCATGTGGATGTTGGTACAAAGGCCTGTGAATATTGGTACAAATGCCTGTGAATGTTGGTACAAATGCCTGTGAATGTTGGCACAAAGGCCTGTGGATATTGCTACTAAGGCCTGTGAATGTTGGTACAGAGGCCTGTGAATGTTGGTACAAAGGCCTGTGAATGTTGGTACAAATGCCTGTGAATTTTGGCACAAAGGCCTGTGAATGTTGGTACAGAGGCCTGTGAATGTTGGTACAAAGGCCTGTGAATGTTGGTACTTAGGCCTGTAAATGTCGAAAACACTCTTGCACGTACAGAATTTTTTTTCGATTTCAGCGGCAGGACTTGCTATCTGACAATGCCAAAAGGTGATCATTAGTGAAGTTCATTTCCAAAAACACATTTCCAAACCCAGGAGCGAGCCCAACATAAATTCAATTCAATGTACGTGCTCAAATAATTAACAACTCGGTATCGTAATATTATTGGTTCCGAAGGCAACACTCTCTCCATGCTTGCAGAATTCGACAACTTTGGAATCAATGTTGAAACAGTTGCCTCGCGAGGGTTTGGCAGCAGCAAAGTCCTTATTAGAAGTCATCACAAAGGAATTTCTACGGGGAACTATTAGCCAATACAGGAGCATTTTCCTTTTCAAGCATCAGGGCCTTTTAATTCCAAGGAGCAGGTAATGGTTGAAAATGTCAACACTAACACGGCAGTAGCCATTACCTCATAGTGACGAAAGCCTCCTAGAGCAATACGTCCCCTCAGGTCAAATCAATCGGTTTAAGATCTGGTAATTCGGCCGGGAAAGTAGTTTGAGCTTTCCAAAAACACAGAACGAAACTGAAAAGGTCGAATAGTTAACACAAACCTTTTTTGCGGGGGGATCTCTTTTCATTATGTAAATGGCCTCTCCTCGAACCCCATACCCTTTGCGTGGATCGAGTCTTTGATGTGACTGGCAAAGGACAGCCATGGGCAAGCTATCCATTAAGTTCCTGAAAGATGCTTCTCGGGAAGTTTGCTTTAAAATAGAGGCCGGCGATAGAGTGGTGCTTAAAGGCGCAAACTGACATCAACATGTCTATGTATACCGATCACTATAACTTACCGTTGTTCGTAGGAAAGGAGATAGCTTAAAAGTTGTCTAACTCTCTACTACACCAGGCACAGTATTAATGGCGTAGGGTTTTGAAAGCCATTCAAAAGAACCTTAATAAAGGCCAGTTTGTTCCACCGACAACTACATGGCTGACATTAGTTCGACCAACACGGTGGATATGTACTGGACTATCAAATCGGCTACGTGGATTTAGGCTCAGGGGCACGGTTGAATCACTGGCTATCGATAGCCTTTTTCATAGCTAAGAATATAGAGGGTATCACTTAAACAGTAATGGTGGGAGACCGCGAAGAGCAGCAAATGATACTATACATAATGTCAAAATGTGAAAGACATTGAGATTTCATAAAAGCGGTTGTCCTACGGGACAAAATGTATTCTATCGAGCGGGTGCATTGGTAAGAGGCAATGCACTAGCGGTCAAAGTACAGATTGCACATGGAGTTGCCCAGGCTGTAACTCGGACTCAATTATCATCGACTAGTTTCGGTACTGACAATCTGCTATTAAACTGGCCACAGAATGTAAAATGTAAAAAGCAACCTTTGTTATCTGTTTATTTTCCACCTGTAAGCTCTCGAGTTACCTTTCGCTTGGCCTTCCTGTGGCAGGCGTCTCTCATGTGGTCAGCGTTACCGGGGAGGTTGCGGCCCCACAGCTTGCGCCCGACCACGCTGTACGTGAAGCAGAAGATGATCAAGGGGGCGAAGTAGGTGGCGCCCATGTTAAAGATCTCGTAGCCGAACTCCAGGTTCTCGTCGGGCCAGTGCTCTGTGCAGACCGCCAGGTGGCGCTCGCCGTAGCACCAGTGGTACTCCTGGGTGCGGGCCAGGAGGAGTTGGACCAGCCCCATCATGCACGAGGCCACCCAGATGCCCGAAATGACCAGGACCGTCTTGGCGTTGGAGCGGGCGATGCGCGCCTTGAGGGGCCGCACCACGGCGAAGTAGCGGTCTATGCTGACGGCGGTTAGGGTGAACACACTCACGCAGATGACCACCTTCAAGGGAATTGAAAAGAAAAGAAAAAGACCAAAACCAAAATCAATGAATAAATGTGTTATCTATAGTCTAACGAAATTAACAACTTTTTCAAGTACAAAGCAAAAAATAGCGAAATAGTCCATTAAGTATAAAATCTCCTGAGAGTTTTGTATTGCATCTACGTATATTACTAGTAGCGGAGTCTTTTTTAGCCATACTCAAAAGAAGCTTTGTGATTTTCTGCCGTCACCTCCGCATGCATGTACTCTCCTGGTTTGTGGTCATGATGTTTTTAACTAAAGGCCGCACCACAATTGGCCTTGGTGGAAATGAGTGATATTTGCGGAATCGTATTGTCCTTATAACACTCTCTAATAAACACTGCGCAGGCGCTGACCACAGAGGGCAGAATTGAATGAGGACTAGACCAATGACGTCAGGGAACGTAGTTTGTTTCCTTTGTGTTTTTTCTCCACGTTAAGTCATACATAAGTCAGTCATAAGCCTGTTTCTAACACAAGGCTAAGAGAACGTTTGTCCCGAGATACCTTGATCTTGAAAAATCCCATACAAATCCAAATCGAGTCTCCAGACATTTTCATAAATTCCTGATACCTCATAATTCCTGAAAAGTTGATTTCTCATAAATATACAGCCTGCTAAACAAAGGTATCACACAGCCAGATGTAACAGATTCATCAGTAAGCTTTCACAATTTTTACGAAATTTCCACAACATAGACCAAGCGAACATGCCGTGATTTCATAACAAAGTAAGTGGCTAAAAATTTCAATACCAATTTCAATGCAGGAGAAAAAAAGACACAAAGAGAACTTGAAGGAATTCCTATTGAACTCGACCACTGGGTCCGTAATTGTGACGTGGCATATTAATATTCTGCCCTGAAAAAATGCTCAAGGTGAACGCAAGTTCATTTCGTCTCATCTGACATCATCCTTAGCTCATCCCATCCATAGCCATCTTATTTGGTTCCTTTTTTCTCTCTCATTGCCAAAAAAGAGAAAAACGTACCGTGACGTCGGTTGTGTTTTGCTCTGTTTGCCACAAGCGCAATCGTTTTGGCGTTCAGCGAAGCCAGAAATCATTTTTCAGTCCAATAATGTACATGTATTTCACATCGCAGGCACAGCCCATGAGGCGGAAAGTTGGAGACTGATGTTTCGTTACAGGGTGAAAAAACACATGCAAACTCCGTTCAAGAACAAATTGTTTGGGAGAATGTTTGGAACCAAGGGTTCTTGGTAACAACCTTGATGGCGATCTTTTCTCGGAGACCATTGAAATATCTTTAATGGCACCAAGGGTCAGGCCTTTGTACGTTTGTGATGGACAGATTATTGGCTCAGGGTTAAACCAGAGAACGTTCTAATCAAACTCCCCCCCCCGTCGTAACAGCGCGCGAACACAGAGCAAATACGTGTACTTTCTGCATGTCACACAGTTGCTCCAGGATTCTTACCCCTGGCTTAAAGGTTGGCGTTCAGCAAGTCACGGATGGAAATATTTTTTTATTATCTCCAGCGTTTTTTTTCTTTTAGACCGAATGCATTCATGCCTCATGCAAGCTGGCAGCTGCTCACTGAAGCCTTGAATTAAGGCTACGTGGCAGCTGACTGAATCCTGGTCCAGTGCCGAACTGTGAAACCCAGAGAGGCCTTGTAAACGCAAAGTCGTGACCACGACTCCATATCAACAGCGGGATACCCTCATCGTTGTCAAGTAAAATGTACAAGTACTTGAAATAGCTATGTGGAACTTGATTCCAACTTGATTCCTATGACCCAAACCATCCACATGCGTCGAAGACTATAGATGGATCTGGTGACAAGAATCAGGAGCTGTTACTGTGGTGTCCCCACAAAAGAGATGCACATTGAATGCTTCCTCATCAGCCAATGGGAACACACTGCCACAATCAAGAGCTCGCCAAGCTTAGGCCGTTTTCCAATACTTGACTTGGGCTCCGTCTCAGGCTTCAACTGTTTTTTTTTCTTCTAGACTTTGAGGTTGTAAGCGCAATAGTAAGTCATCAAGTAAGATGCAAAAGAGCCAAACATGACAGTATTTCAATTTAATTTAAATGCTTCAGGCCCACAATCGGGGATTGGTTTCCTACACGAAGCCTGAGACGGAGACGAAGTTGAGTTTTGGAAAACGGCCTTAATAGGAATGCGCGCTTGAGTGACGGGGACACTGCAGTAATGGTCAGCGATTCAGTCGGTAGCTTCTGCTCTATGGCTTCCTACAATCTCTTATCTATGCCTGATTCTTTTAATAGGTAAAACGGCAAACGAGCAAAGGTCTAGGTCTTCACTCCATCGGAAATGCGTGGAGACGCCTAGACAATAGACCTAGCCGTAGCTCTGGAAGCCCTTTTCGGGCACGGCCTCAATTTCCAATTTGAGACAAAATTGGAAGTGTAAAAGCAGCTGGACCTTTCGTTCAGAAAGTCTAATTCAGAAGGCTATTAGAGCTTTGCCGTCAACTTAAGCATTCTGCTTGGCGATATCCTGCTCTGTCTTGCTGTTACCTGTGGAAAGCAAAGGATCTACTGATGTAGAGGAAAAAAACGTGTTTACAGTTGAACATTTTGGAAACACTTTCTTGCTGCCAGATTGTAATCATTACAGTGCAAAAGATATTTAGAGTATTGCACGAAATTGATGGAAGCTATTGCAGAAAATAATCACACAATGTGTTTAATTGCGTTTTTTTTAGCGTTTAGGTATGATGTCAAAGAGGAGGAAGTAACTATGCAATAGGTTAAAAGTGAATCCAAGCACAAACGAAAGTAACACAACATGTTTCAAAATGAAGAAAGTGAGAATATATTATTTCAGTCTTTTAAACACACGAACTATACCCAGCTGGAACAACCACAAACACCGTATATCCTAAACCCTTTCCTCAAGACATAGGGAAATAAGATACAAAATGCCTAGGGAAATTGGCATGATATTCGAAACACGAATTGTGAAGTTAATACATGTCTTGGCATGTACAGGTGTTTTGACGATAAACAGGGTCCTCTAGAATCTTGCCTTCCACAGGATGTCAGGAAAGCAAAATTGTTTTGGCACAAGAAATGTTTGCATCAGCATGGAGGTTTTGTCTGTCGTTCAACTTGCGTTTTCAAGTTGAATCCTGATTGATCATGCATGCACTTGAAAAAAGCGCTACGGAAACAATCTCGTTCAGTGTTGCTTTGTTTACAAAAACCAACCATGCTCCGATGGATTAAGTTTGCTTGCGCTGTATCCCAACAGTGCGGGGTGTTGGACACGTCGTTCTAGATATCCCGGAAGCAGGCTAGAGCACATCATTGATTTCATATTGGATTACTCAATTTTCCTGGCGAATCAGGAATGTAAAGTGGTAATTCTAACCCTGCACAGCATGAGTAATTTGATCTCATTCAGTTATAAAACATGACGTCAATTAGAAAAGCTTTAACAACTTCAGACCTGGCCTGAAGTCAAATAACATTGGCAATACAGACATCTGAAACTGACAGCTCGTAAGAAAGCAAAACTAAACCCACAAAATCGCCACAGAGGCGGCTCCCTATGGTCTCAAATCGCACTGGACGCTTTGGTTGAGGGTTTTCCCGCCACTGATACTAGAGAAAGGTCCACGTGGTTCCAGTGGACAAGCGGTAATATTTCTGACCGTTGGTCCAGGTCGTCCTCGGTGTAAAATGATCCAGAGCTTCCCGTTTTATGCTCAGTCCCTTTTTTATCTGCAACTCATCCGAGAAACTCCAGATCAAGAAATAGTTTGGATCACTGAGGAAAGTGTCTGAGTTACCGCGTATAGAAACTATTTCTTTCTGAGCGTAATCACTCGGTTTAACGTAAACGGTGAGATATTTTGTAGAACGGTGCTTTTACCATAAGGCCTAGCCAGTTGTAGTCAATTTCACCAAACAGTGAAACCCAAGTTCAGTTATTTTTGCATCTGGCAATCTGTATCAATGATTCCGAAGGCTAAATCTTTCACGCCGAGAGCCACTGTCACAAGGTCTCGTGCATGTGATCGTTAGGGGATTTTATTGTTGTAACGAAATCCTCCGAGATTCCTATAATCCTAGGGGATCGGACCCCCCCACCCCCAGCAAAATAAGCAACTCAAGGGGGGGTGCTATAATAAGGGCAATACCCATTCTTAACTGCGACCCCATAAAGTCATATACAATGGTGTCACTGTGATACTTCTGTGGCGTTTTCCCCCGTGAAATCTGTAACGTGTCAGTTTTCATTTGCAATTTCGCTGTTAGATAAATGACTTTAGAAGCGAGGGACCGTATGAAAGAGCCAGCCACACGATCTGGCGGGGCAATGTGAAATATACTCCGCTCTTATCTGATTTCATCACATGGTCTCCAGCTAATAAATTGACTGCCGCTACCGTCGTTTACCAAATGAGCTTATCAATCAGGAGTTCAGCGTTCGACTGGATTGACCCATGAGTTCGCTTGATAATAAACAACAGATTTGATCATAATAATCTTCACGTTAACACAGAAACATCCATGCTTTCAACACGATCAACTGAACGAAGTATCGTACTGTTATATGCCTATATGTTTATAGACCAAACACTACCGAAATCAAAGGGAAGCCAAATTTCCAGCACTCAGCATCCAAACTAGGGCTTGGATCCCAAATCAGTTGTTATCCATTTAACATTTTACACTTTTCCATGCATCTTCGTCATCGACAGAGAAAAGATTGACCCAGTTCACTATTTGCGCATGCATGAAAGTTACAAAATATTATATCCACATTTATAAACAGTACGGTTCGCTGGAGCTCCCTTTCGGTTGACTGGACACGGTCAAATACTTTCCGGCATGTGTTTATACTTCCTATCCTGAGCAGTGGAAAAAGCAGTAACGTTTGGATGAAGGTGTTACGTTACTTACGTACGAGTTCGTTAATCGTTTATGTCTTATTTGCAAACGTGCTCTATCCAAGAACGCTTATCAAGGCTGATC